CTGGCAATGAAAACCATTTCCAACACATATCTCATAGTGACGAAGAAGACAAAGGAGAGAAGTGTGGACCAAAGGATTCTTATTTCTCATCCACGTTCTCTTCATTGTTAGTACTTTGCTTTCTTTTTAAACCTGGGTCTTTTCTGCCTCATTTCCTTTTTCTCCCTTTCTTCTCCACCCTCAGAGGGTTCTAGGAACTAATGACCCGAGGATTGGAATAAACAAATTGGGTGAGCGACAAAGCCCTTCATTGCAATGGAAACCATACTTTGATTTTTACAGATTTAACAAGAGGAAAGTAAAAATAAGTAAATAAATAAAATCACTTCACAGTATTCCAGGGGAGAACGGGCCCAGAGCTCCCTGGGACTCCACTTCATTCTCCCTTGAAGGTCAGGGTTTCAAATTCTAACAGGCTTCTGCAAGTTACCTGATAATCCTTTTGGAGCAGAGTCTAGAGCTTCCTGCTTGGACTCAGACACACATTTGACATTCGACACTAGGCCCCTCGGTGCATCCCATTGAGGCCTCAATCCCCATGCGTAGTGCTCAGGACACCAAGGATATTTTCCTCCATCTTTGCCGAGAAGCATCTGTAGAACAAGGGGTTTCTGATCTCCATCTCCGTCCTCCCGGCTGGTACCTGTGAGGTACCGGGCACATGGCGTTCAGCATCCAGTGCTTTAGCAAGTGTTCATTAACAGAAATATCAGACAAGCGCAGAAGTGTGTGCAGCTGCACAAAGGTGGACCTCTGGCTCATGCCATACAGTCATCACCGGTCCCCGGGCTCCCACCCGGAGCAGGTGTCATCACCTTCAGAAGAACCACGGGACTGCAGCTCTCCTCTTCTGAGGGAGTCACCCAGCAGGTGGGACTGGAACTCCTTAGAGTTGCTGTCCATCTTCTTCTGTTCCCAGATGCCCTCAATTCTGTTCCCTCCCTCTCTCTTCCCTCCCTCCCTTCCAGTGTGTATCAGGCTCTGGTGTGTAGGTTACAAGACCTCTATAATTCTCCGCACAGAAAGACTCTGGAACTAAATAGCTTCAGAATCCCAAATAGTAGGATTGGGACTCTTGTTTGTGGTGAGATCCCCTAGCCCATGCTCTGAAAAAAAAAAAAATGAAGTCATCAATAATCCCCAAGGTTTTTTAGGTTCCTCAGCTCTTTGCTTTAAAGAGCCCTCTCTCTGAGTAGCAGCAATTGGCACTCAGTGGGGGCGCAGAGCATGTGGAGTTCACTGCAGAATCATCAGATTGATGCTATCTCTAGAAACTGAGTGCGTTCATTCACTGACAGACAGTACTCAGATCCAGCATAGCAGGAATGATGTAGCAGTTGAATAGGTTTCAGTGGAGGAGGACCGAGGGTACAGTTGGGGGAGGGGGTAGTAAATCCTTAAGGATCTGATTTTGAGGGTAGGCATATGGGAGTCGGGAGGGGGTGAGTACTGATAAGCCATACACAATATCATTTTGATTGAGCCCCGGGTTATATATACCACGATGGTTTTCAAAAGCATTATTCAGTATGGTTTCATGCCTGAAAAAAGAAATGTTTGAGATGGATCAGTAGGACGGAGAGGACCAGGCAAGTAAATTCTGCAGCGTGGATTTGCTCCACGGTCTGCTTCCCTTGTGCTTTGGAACTCCAAGAACATCTTTAGCAGTCTGCCGTGCGGATGAGGAGGCCTGTGTGTTCAGCGTCACTGTGAGCTCACACCTCTGCAGTATGCAAAGGCTCAGAAGGTGAGAATTCATGCGGCACTCTTAGTTAAAATAACTGCAGGAGAATTGGGAAAGGATCCCTTAGTGAGTGATGCTAATGAACAGGCGATGCTCTCCCCTCCTCAGGCTAACAAGGCTCAGCCACTAATTGGTGTAATTAGCAGTGAACGAGTTTGAAAAATGCTTCACTTTCCTCTCATTTCTCCAGCTCTGTTAATGCCTGAGCTCTCTGCTTGGATTGTTTGGCTGCTTCTGATTTCCTTTATGAAGCTCAGGTTGGAAGGGGGGGTCTTTGCCCCCTTTCCAATGGTAATTGAGAGCCTGACTCCTGCCCTTAAGCAGCTGCATCCTTGCTCCTGCATGATGCTGGAAGGTGAAGGTTCATCTTGGACTCTTTAAAAACCCTTGCTAGGATTGGTTTGCATGGCTTCCAAAAAGTTCTTTTTCTTCTACGTTTGGACTTGTGCTTGATGAAGGGCCTTCATCTTTTTTTTTTTTTTTAAGAAGGTAGCCCCCAAAACAGGGCAAACCGTTATGTGTTGCTATGGAAATCAGTGAATGAAAATTTTATTTCCCATTACCCTGATTGAACAGAGAAAAGGAAAAAAAGGAAGCAGCTATATAAGGAGGGAATAAAGAAGAGCCCAAGACACAGAGAGTAATTAACAACAACTGAAGAAATAATAGGAAGGTTTCTCCAAGGAGTCTGATCTCCCCACAAGAAACAATCACATCTTTCAACTGCTTGCAGTGGTGCCAGGAGCCCTCCAGGGAAGCTTCAAGGGGCTGGTGTTCTGGAGGCCTCGGATTGAGTTCCTTGAGAAGGGTAGGAGGACATTGTGGTTTATATGGAAGCCAACAGCTGGCATTCAGGATGGTGCTCAGAAGGGCTTTTGGTGCCACGTTGGCTGCAAGTTTGAAAGCAGAAGCCATCTTTGATCAGTTCCAATGCTAGTATGTTTCAGAGTGAGTTCTGTCAAGGCATTGTATTGAAATCCAAGGACTCGGCTCATCTGACTCACTCATGGACAGCCTCTTTACATGTTATCGAGAACTAACTGGCTGCAAGCTGTTTTATTTCCCCAAGTCCTATTCTAATTATATAGCCCCTTAAATGTGGTAAGCCTGGCAGTATTTTAATCTTTCATTTAGAGATTTATTTTTATTAAAAAGTGGTGTGTGTGTGTGTGTGTGTGTGTGTGTGTGTGTGTGTGTGTTGTATGTGTGTAGATGTCCTCAAAGGTCATAAGAGGACATTGGATTCTTCAGAGCTGGAGTTACAGGCAGATGTGACCTACCCAAGTATAGGTGCTGGAATCATAAATTTGGCCCTCTGTAAGAGCAGTACATGCTATTAACCACTGAGCCATCTCTCTAACCCTGTGTTGGCTAATTCTTGTCAACTGGATACAAACTATAGTCACCTGGGAAAGGAGAACCTCAAATAAGGAATTGCTGCCATCAGATCTGCCCATGGGCCTGTCTGTGGGGCATTTTCTTGATTAATGATTGAAGTAGGAGGGTCCATCCCACTGTGGGTGGGGCCACCCCCTAAGCAGATGGTCCTGGGTTATTCAAGAAAGCAAGGTGTGTCTTCAAAGCAACATTCCTCATGGCTTCTGCTTCAGTTCCTGCCTTGAGTTCCTGCTTCGGCTTCTCTAGATGATGAACTATAAATGGTAAGCTGAAATAAACCCTTTCAGTTAGTCCAGTGCTTTGAACTATAAATGGTAAGATGAAATAAACCCTTTCAGTTAGTCCAGTGTTTTGTTATAGGAATGGAAAGCAAAGCAGAACAAACTCTGGGAGCAACTTTTAATGACAGTTAAGACAATGCCTTGTAGTTTTAGGCTCTTATTGACTATGATTCAAAAATATTTAAGAAGAAGAAAAGCCAACTGTACCAGCAATGCGCAGGTTTTTTGTCATGGTTCCTTAAGCAGTACAGTATAGCAACTGTTTGTAAGCATTGTCTTGTGTTGGGCATTATATGTCATCTAGAGAAGATCTCAAGTGTACAGGAGCAAAGATGTAGGGTTTGTGCAAACACTGCATCATCACAAGGAGTTTAAGCAGCCTCTGATTAAGATCGTCAAGTATGGTCCTTGAACCAGTTCTTCCTGGATACAGGATACAGCGGTACTAGTAATTTTTGGAAGACACCAGAGGAGAATATACCTAAAGTTGGTTGGCATTTAGCGTTCTGCTCTGTAACCTGTGAGATGAGATGAGATGAGACATCCTAGATATTATAACTACAGACACCTCAGCTGACAGATGAGGTTTCTGAGCCCACAGAGCCAAGAGCCAGGCTCTAAACAGGGATTAAATTCACCAAAGGGGCCAGGGAGCTTCATGGGAGGCACCCTCCCATGTTTGCATGTTGCCTGACCTTGCCTGTCTACAGGCTGCATGGACCTCCTTCTTTTAACCCCCTGTCACAAAGCACATTCAGGTGACCAGATTCGCTGACTTGCTGTTTGCTGAAGCAACACAAAATGAACTGATGCAAAATCTTGGTCTCCATCTCAGACCCCAGCTCTTGTGCATGTTGCTAGAGTTGAGAAACCTCTGATATTGAGAACTGCCGATGAGAAGCCATACTCATTTGGGCCCTGTTGCCATATTGGGAACCAAATATCAACCACATGTGGGGTTCAGTCTCACAACATTTCTAAGTCATATCACTAGCTTTATGTGAGTTATACCTAAGCCATGAGCTGGATTTATAGAAATTCAGGCTTTAGGAGTCCCTGGATTAGTTAACAGTGTGTCAAAAGAAAAGCCCACCCTTCTCCCATACTGAATAGAATGAATGCATTATTTCAATGATCTGGAAATGTCCAATAAATATAAATATAAAATCAAATTCTCTCCAAGAAGGCCAGGCAGATACCATCTTCCATCTGTAGGTAAAGATACTTGCTTGAGCTCAGAATGGCCAAATGGGTGAATCACACTGGGGCCACTTGCCTAAAATAGCAGATGGCACAGCCTGGACTTGAACCCAGAGATTCTAATCCTGTATCCAATGCTTCCCTGACACATGACCCTGGTCCCTCAGCCAGAGCCATTCTGATGTGAGGCCAGACCACACACATAGAGGAGGAAATGAGGTAAAAAGTAAGAGTCCTGCTGAAGTGCACTTCCTAAAGAGACACGTGGGCTCTCTGGTCTTGCAGCAGGAATGTTCCAGACTGGTAAATACGAGGTTGGGAGTGTGAGGAACTAACTGGTGATATAATACAAGTGGCTGATGAAAATATGATTCCAGGAGCAGTGTCTGTTGAGAGTAAGAGAAATGCAGAAGATAGCTGGGATTCTCAGAAATGGCTCCAGAAATACGGCTTGAAGGCTCAGAAGCTGACCTTTTACGATGTCCTCGCCGACTGCTCCTTCCGCCATTCTGATGGAGTTGTTGATATAAAAGCCAAACCAGAAGACGAGTCCGTGCAGACCAGTGCGGTAGGTGGAAGCTGGTGAGGCTGTAGGTCTTCTCTTGTTTCCCCAGGGGGGCAAGAGGGGTGTGTGTGTGGGGGGGGGAGTGTTGTGGGTCTTCTCTTGTTGTCTGGGGACAGGGGGGTGAAGCCTCTCTCGGATCAGAAGCCAAGGGAAAGACCACATTGAAAGGGGTCAGGGGAGGAAATCATCTAGGGTTTACATGAAATAGATGTCCCTTTACTTCCAGCCTTCTCTAAATGGTGTCCATGAGAGTAGTCAAAGCCTGGACATGGCTTCTACATACATGTCTTAGTCTGTTCTGAGTGGCCAGAACAGAATGCCTCATGCTAGGTGCTTTATGAAGAAAACTCTTGTATTTAGCTCACACTTTTGGAGACCTAATGCCAGATAGGTGTTATCTATTTAGCCTCTGATGCAGTCCCCTAGCTCCCAGCTGTGTCACAGAGGAGCAGAAAGAGAAATAGCCATGGGCAGAAGAAGTCCGATGTGTTGATGACTTCATCCTGCAGCAAGATCTCTCGCCGGGAGACCAGCATCACTTCCTGTCATCAGCAGTACCCCATCATCTTCCAGTAGACTTACCCCTTAGAGCTTCCCCACCACTCAGCACCACCACACTGGGGACCTATACCACAGACACTTTTGGAGACACACTTAAATTTTTAGGCTATAATGGCAGATATAAGTGAATTATACCCAAGCCACCTGCTGGGCCAACAGAAGTTCAAGTCTTGTAAGTGCCTGGATTGTTCACTGTTATGCCAGAGGAGAGGCTCTTTGTTCTCCCAGTCTTGTAAGTGCCTGGATTGTTCACTGTTATGCCAGAGGAGAGGCTCTTTGTTCTCCCAGTCTTGTAAGTGCCTGGATTGTTCACTGTTATGCCAGAGGAGAGGCTCTTTGTTCTCCCATGTTGAATAGAAGGGAGAAACTGCTGGTGAGTGTGTAAAGAGCCAGGCACCTCTGTGGTCCTCTTGAGTTTTCAAGCATCTTGAAGATGCATCACTCCAGTGAGCACCTGCCCGTATATAGCAGATTTTCAGTAAACACAAAATCGGATTCTCCAAAGACTCATAGCACCAGCTGAGCATGCGTTTCAAGCTCTGAAAGATGCAATTCCATTGTACCAAATGGGATCCACAGGGAGGCAGCGACTCACGGTGTCTGACTTGGGCTCCCAAAGACCGAGTCATTCTCAGTATGAATGATTTCTAAGCTCTCACACCATGCGTTTGAGTCATTAGTTCTGAGGTGGGGACCAGGATTTTACATTCATTCTGTCCTAGCCAGCCCGTTTTGTGTTGCTGCAGCCCACTGTCTGAGGCTGGGGAATTTATAAAGAAAAGTAGCTTATGTAGCTCACAGTTCTAGAGGTCAAAGGGTGTGGTGTAGCATCTGCCCAGTTTTTCTGGTCCAGGCTCTCCATGCTGTGTCAACTCAGTGTGGAAAAGGAGGAAAGTAGGTGTGGGTAGAAGAGCACATAGATGAGAGAAGAGAGAAAAGAGACGGGGAGATAGGCTGATCGGCAATGGTTGATGTTGGGTTTCAACTTGATTTAGAATCCCCAAGGGTGGGGGCTGGGGGGGCAGGACGACACTTTGGGCATATCTATGAGGGAGTTTCTAGACTGGGTTGAGGTGGGAAAACCTACCTTAAATGTGAACAAAGCTGTCCTAGACGTGGGCAGCGCCAGGCCACGGCTTGGGATTCTAGACTGAGGAGCCAAGCGCCAGCATGCATCTCTCTTCTCCCTGACTGCCCATGCAGGGTGAGCAGTCTCCTCCTCACGCTCCAGCTGTCATGACTTCCCCACTGTGATAGACTATACCCTCTGCCAGGGTCCCGCCTGTATCAGTCCCATGCTACAGAGGCCATGTATTTGGGACTGATGTCTTTGGGGCTGCAATCAGAACCAACCGAGCAGCCCCAGGTCTGACCCTGAGTGGAGGAGTGTGGGTTGGGAAACTCCTAGCTACCCAACGGTGTTAAGGACGAGACAGGGACATCTTGTCATCTCAGGGGGGCTCTCAGTCCATCCTGGAGACCACTGTTTATTCCAGCATCCTCTTAAATAGCTTTCCAAAAGTGGGGGAACTGGCAGAAGACATCTGTTATCATGTATAGAGCTGATATCAAATATTCCCTTTAATCCTCAAGATAGTCCTAGAAGGCATGTATGTTCACAGGCCCTTAGACATTCCACAAGGACCCCAGCCTTCCAGCACCAGGCATGTTCACTAGCCCTCAGAATAGGTGTGGGCCCACCCAGGGGCAAGGTCTATTGTTGCACAAACTAGGAGCCATTCTCCACCTTGGCCAGGCCATCTGGAGGTAACCAGCCTACATCTAAAAGACAAAGGGAGATTGGAGCTCCTGGAATTGAGCTGAGGCCTGTATCCGAAATATCATAATCGATATTTGGGTCCCTGACAACCCTCAAACTATTAGCCAAAACAAACCCACCCTCCCTTTATCCCTCCCTCCCTCCCTCCTTTCCTTCCTCAACTTGGGTTTGTCAAGTATCTTGTGACAGCAACAAGAAAAATAACGGAGGCAGGGAGGCTGACCTACTTTGTACCAGTCCATTCCAGTTGGTTCACTGCTACAGAAATACTTGAGTATCTGTTAGTCACCTTTTAAAGGTATTGAAAGATCCCTGGAGGCTCAGGCCCCCAGGATCTCAGCCCAGGACCTCGGCCACCCCAATCACCAGGCGGAGGCGAAAGCTTGATGCAAACAGACGAGGCTTTATTGCAGTTGTTTAACAAGCTAACCCCATGTTAGCTCGGGCCTTTCATCTATACGCCATGGTGGATGGCTAGGAAAGATGCCGCCGAGAAACCACGGCATAGAGATCTTATAGGGCAGCGTAAGGGGAGTGTCTAGGGGTACGCACAGGCTCAGGATTGGTGTGCCTCCAGGCTTGCCCTGTGTTGATTGGTCAACTGGTTGTTATGGCCCATAGGCCCTCCCAGGGCGATTGCTATGTTCTGTGTGTCATTGCTGTGCACTTGTCCATAAAGCACACCCAGAGCCGTAAAGCATAGCACCACCAGCTAATTTCTGATTGGTTCCTTGCCACGGGGCAGGCATCTGACTTCCTAGTGACCAAGCCAAGGTCAGGCAAACATGTGTTAGGCTGTTACAGCTGCTGAAATGGGGAGCTGGTCCCTTCAATCCCACCTACTGGCACTGCCATGTTAAGGACCAACTCTCAACATGGTGGGGACAAACCACATTCAAACCATAGCAAACACCCAGATGAGGGTGGAAGGTGGAGGACCAGTGCTACACACCTGAGAAACAGTCACGGGCACGTATAGAGCAGGGACCACAATACTCAGTGTCAATGGTTAATACGCCCAGAGAGACTAAGCAATGTCACAGTGTGAAGCAGAAAACCAGTGTGTGTATCTGTGTGAGTGCACACGCATGTGCTACGTGCTAGAAATGGAGGCTGTGGGGGATCAAGGCCCTGCGCAAATACTGGGTCACTTGATATGCATCCATCCTTAAAGGCTGTGATTCGGGGTCAAGGCCATTGCTGAGAGCCTTGTAGATCCCAACAGAGGGACCCTGCGTGCTCTGATGTGTCACCACACTGGCTGACCACCCAGCTCGTTGCCCATCCTCCTTCCCCAGTCAGCAGTCTCGGGGGAGGGGACGCTGTTTTCTTCTAGATGTTCAGGTTCAGCCATGTTGTGCTTTTATGTCCTTACCCCTGTGTGTTTACAATGGATTGCAGGAGGAAAATATATAAATTGAATTAGAAAAATGCAGCATTGACGAAAAGCTTGCTTCCTGGCGTATCCTAGGAGGCAGAGTAATTGCTGCAGCACAGAGGAAATCTCATTAGTGCCTTTCCTCCCGAGCACAGTTTTCTAGCGTTGTAGACATCATTCAGTCATGTTCAGGAAGTCATCCATAACTAAATTTTCACTTAGAAAACATTCAGTCCCGGGTTTTTAAAAGTATCAATCCTCGCCAATTTTGACATGGCCCGCTGTGAGCTTCTGGCAATATGGCAGGCTATGGGCTAGCTCTAATGCTGAACTTTCCCTTCCTTCTTGGCAATCTCAATGAAAATTTAAGGGCCAGTTTGAAGAACATGGCTTATAAATGGCGGGCTTAGCTCACATTTCTTGTGCTCAAGAATAATAATATGGCTAAGGTAGAGAATTATGCTAACTGTTCTCTTTCATAGGTAGTGGGAACAAACATTATTTCTTCATATTTGAAGACCATAGGTCCCAAAGTGGGTTACTCCTAAGGCTGTGTTATGTATTTAGTTAGGGAGACACTGTGGCTGTAAATGGGTAGATTCTTTAGCAGCCAGGGGGGTGAGTCCCTGTATGATTATATAAACACTGGTTTAGATGTGATATGGTTGTGCACATCTGGGAAATGAATGACTAGAAAGATCTCTGTGCATAGGGTTTCCAGGATGGATGAAGAGGTGGGGATCATTTTGCTACCCGGAGCTCCCTTCTTCATGTCTTTAAACTGGGCATTGTCAGATACAGTTTGGGAAATGCCTGTCTAAGCACAGAGCCCAGCAGTTAGGAGACTTTGCCCAGGAGACGTGGTCTTTTCTCCATCACAGACACTGACATTACAAGCAGAGAATCAGCCCTGGGAATGCTTTGTGCTTTGCATCATCTAGATACCTTAGCTGTTGGTGCTCTCAGTTTTCCACTGGAGGCCGGTGTGGTGTGAGTGGGTAACCATCTGGGTTACCATGTCACTCTGTCACTCTGTCATGCTGCTGCCTGATAGCTTGCCTCCACATGGCTTTTGGCTTGCTGTTGCTTCCCTTGGCTGTGCTTCAGACTGCTAGGGAAATGACATCATGAGACTGAGAGCTAGGCAGGGAGGAAGCTTTGGTGTGACAGCCCCAGGGATGTGGTTGAGAAGGAGAGAAAGGGCACCACAGTAGAGGACAGTTCCCTTCACCACTCCCTCTTGGCAGCTTGTGGCTGATAAATCCTATCCTCACCACCTGTCTCCTGGGTCCTGTCCCTATGTGACCCTTGAATGGGTACCCTCTGTATTAGGGGCTGGACTCTCTCTTAGATCCATTGGCCTGCTGTGGGTGGTAGCCTTTTCTTCTCTTGCTGCTTCCTGACTATTCTTACCAAGTCATCAGACTGCCGTAGCACCCCTTGGGCTATGCTGAGACCACCTCACCTGCTGCTGTCCTTGAAGATGAGTTTCTTCCTTGCCACTTCCGACTCCAAGCCCTGTTTTCATTCTTCAGGATGTCAGTCCCCTCTGATCTTTCATTTCTTTATCCCTTCTTCTGACTTTCTCTTCCATCCCACCACTCTCCTCCTGCCATCGGTGTGCCCTGGACCTTGTTATTATGAAAAACTGTAAGCAGCTCACACAATCAATTCTAACCATACCACTTAGATTACTTTCTAGGGCTTTTCCTCTGTCAGCCTCAGTGTGGTCTGCCGGTTATCATTCCTGCTACTTTTCCCTGTCTCTGTGTGTCTGCCCCTCCCATACATCCTCATCACTTTTTCCCATTTTTGATTATTTCATGCATCCAGCACAATCCCAAAGCTATTTAAATTGTTTGTTGAATTTAGAAGTGAATGGTCCTGCTGTGGAGATGTGTGCTAAGAGCTGTACAAATAAAGCAGACATGGGGGTGCCACCTGGCTGTTTTTCTTCCTTACATGGTTTCTGAGTGGCCTTGTTATTAGACATTTAGCCCCAAAGTCCAAGCCCTGGGATCCCCACAGAACAGGCCCCTCCATACCCCAGTACTCCATTTAGAGAGGCAATAGTGGCTGGCAGAGGTAGATTCCATCAACATGGGTGCTGGTCACATTGTAAAGTATGGAAAAGGGGTTCGTTGACCCCAAAGTGTGTCTTTGGGGCACTGCCTTGAACTCTAGTCTTAATACAGGAAGCACTGGGACAAAGGCAAAGGGCTATATACTTCAGCTGTCCTGGGCAGGCTTGATCTGGTTGATCTTGTCTCAGTTCTGGTTCTGTGAGCTTTGAAGTTGTTACTGCTGCTGTTGAGAAGAATGGTGTGGTTCCTGTAAGTTGGCTACTGCTCTGTGTGTGTGTGTGTGTGTGTGTGTGTGTGTGTCTGGGTGTCTGGGTGTTGGGGGGCAGCTCATTATAGAGTCATGTGTCTTTTGAGGCTCTGCTGGTCCTGGAATCCAGAGTAATTGCAGGTTTACCATATACCTTCAGGCACCTTTTGGAGGTGGTATTGGTGGGGTGGGGCGGGGTGGAGGTGGGGATCTGGAACAGGACACTACACAGCAAGATGTTTCAGTTGCTCTTATCATTATCCTTGCAGGGAGGTGCAATGCTAGCCATTATTATGTTATACTCAGGCACTCCTTTGGAGATTAGTATGCCAATGTGCAGATTTACCAGGTGATGGCTTCAGAGGAGACAGATTCAAAACGGAGGCAGAGATGACCAGATTTTATTCCGTTTTTTAGTTATTTTGTGGGCCCACATGAGGAGTGGTGTTCTTTGTTTTCCTAAGAACCTGCTCTAGCCTATGACTTTGTCTTTTCCTTAGGACATCAATAGGAAGACAGTCCATGCCAAATACTGCAGGAGATTCATTCATGTCCCCTGGAAGAATGGGAGTATGGTCCATGTCATCATTACCAAGGAGAAGTTCAAATGGTACAGTGAGAGAATTCACATAGCCCTGGCCAGGATCCAAAGGAGGTTGGTATGTTTGTATGTGGCCACTAGTGATCTAGTCTTTCGTGAAATACTACATGAACGCCACTGAGTGAAGTGGCCAATAGACACCTTTGTCAAAGTTTGACATTGTCAAAGACACCATCTGATTGCTTATTGATGACATTGCTAACAAAGGGAATACTAGTATCCAGATTTCATCAGAACCAGAACACGGAGGTGTTATTGTGTGTGCATGGTGATGTCCATCTTAATTTTTGAGACAGGGTCTCTCGTGGAACTGGAGCTCAGTGATTAGTTAGGCTGGCTGGTTAGTGTGCTGCAAAGAGCTGCCTGTCTCTGTCTCCGAAGGACTGGGGTCACAGATGCACAGCACTACATCTGGATTTTATGTGAATGCTGGGGATTGGAGCTGAGATCTCACACTTTTGTGACAGGTACTTTATCAATGTATTCATCTCCTCAGTTTCCAAAGGAGCTGTTTTGAAGTGATGGCTATTAGGAGATTAAGGGTAGTTCTGTCTGTTCTTTGGGGGCTTTTGTGGGCCATGGAACATCACAGACTATACTGCATCTATACTCCCTTAGAAGACAATATTAGAAAGTACATTACCTCCTATTTGTCTTTATCATGTTGCGCTCTTACAATCTGCCATGCTTGTGAGTATGGTGTACTGATGCCATGACCTCAGGGTTGACTTCCTGTGGATGATTTAAATCAACACCCTTAGGTTTCAGATGTCAGAGGACAGCTTTAGACCATGGAGATCAAATTCTCTGAGGGGCATTGGCCCTGAGGTCTCAGAGAACTGGAAAAACAAGAAATTAAAAACACGATGAAGACCCTAGCTCTACCACTTTCTGTTTGGCCCTGGGCAAGTTAGCTAATGTCTTTTTGCATCTGTTTCCTTGATTATAAAGTGGGAATTGTGATGACATTTTGTAAATCTGCTCTGTGGATTATGCCAGATGCTAAATCAAATGGGTTTAAGCCAGTGGCAGCCTGCTATAGCCATTCGAAAATGAATGTCCCCTCCATCCTCAAGCTGTTTTTATTACACAGCCATATGTAACAGATACCCATCTGAACAGTATTTATACCCAGAGCCCCAGCATCTCAGAAGCCACATGGTGATGGATTACTCACAGAAAGCTGTCCCTGTGTCAAGAGTCTCCTCTGCTATGGCTTCAGAGCTGACTCTTGAGTTTATGTTTCTAGTCATGTGGGGGACATACTGATTGCAATGCACCCCAGCCTCTGGGTCCCTTTGTACCTTGCCTTCCTGGTGTCAAGAATGGGCAGGAGCTCTTCTCCTTTTCTATTTTCTGCAGAACTATGAAAATTGGCACCATCTCGACCTTATATGTTAGGCAGAATTTACCATTAACACCATTGAAGCCTGGAGTTTTTGTCTCTGTAGGAAGGTTTTGTGGCACACAACTTGGAAATCAAACTTTTTTTGTTTTGCCAGATACATATGTTTCATTTTGTTGGTAGTATTGTGCTCGTCATCCATACTCACTGATTTTTTTCTTCACTTGTTCTATAAATTATTGAGAAAATTGTTGAAATCACTGAGTCATTTCTATGTGTTTCTTTCAGGTCTGTCAGCTTTTCTTCACTACCTTAAAACTCTGTTAGTTGGTGCATGTATGTTGCAGACTGTTAAATTCACCTGGTGGATCAGCTCCTTCATAACATGAAGTGGCCTGTTCAGCTCTGCTAAAATTCCTTATTAAGCAGTATACTTAGTCTGATAATCTGAATAGTCAGTCTCTCTAGCTTAACAATCACTATGGTCTCCATGGTTCATCTTTTCCCATCTTATTCTCTTTGCCTACCTCTGGCTCATAATTAACTGGGCTTCTTGGAGAGAGAATGTGTACCAGTGATTGCAGTGTTAATGATGATTCACATTTATTAACTTGGTTAGATTTAAATCTGGGATCTTGTCATCTTTTTTTCTGTTTGCATTGTCTCCTTTTTGTTTATATTTTAACTTTTTATGCCCTCTTCTGTTACCTTTCTATGACTTCCCTTTGTCTCCATTGTTGCCATATTAACCCTATCTATTATATTTTTTATTATACATATTAACCTCTCAGTCTGCTTTCAGACAAGACCATACCACTTGTGCATCAGAATATTACAATGAGCCAGGCGGTGGTGGTACACGCTTTTAATCCCAGCACTTGGGAGGCAGAGGCAGGCAGGTGGATCTCTGTGAGTTCGAGACCAGCCTGGTCTACAAGAGCTAGTTCCAGGACAGCCTTCAAAGCCTGAAACACTGTCTCAAAAAACCAAAAAAAAAAAAAAAAGAAAGAAAGAAAGAAAGAAAGAAAGAAAGAAAAAAGGAAGAAAGAAAAAAAAGGGATATTACAATGTCTGTCCCCTGTTTTTTTTAGCAGTTACTACAGACATTATATATGCAGGTCTATGAACCCCAAAAAGCAGTACAAATAGTCTAATATCCTAATCTAATGACTAAAAATTAGAATAAATGCATGTTGTATTTGTCCATGCCTATTCCTGTTACTCTTTACTCCTTTGTGTAAATCTAAACTTTATTGGGCATTCTTTCATTTCTAACTGAAAGGCTCTGTTAGTATCCATTGTGGTTCAAGTCTGTTAGTGATGAATTGTATTAGCACTGTTACAGCAAAAAACCCTTTAATTTACCCCCCACCTTTTAAAAAAGATGTTTTTGCTATGTATAGAATTCTAGTTTGAAATTTTTATCAGTTGTTTCTTTTTAAAACCTTCTATGTATTCTGGCCTGTGTGATTTATGATGAAGAGGCCTTTATTCTTAGACTTGTTCCTCTGAATGCATTGTGAATTTTTCCGCCTCTGGCTGCTTTTAATCACTAGGTTTCATCAAATTCATGATACACTTTGCTGTGGTTTCTTCTCTTCTCCTCGGTTGGGTTCTTGGACCACTCTGAATCTGCAGGCACACTGTTTTCATCAAAATAGGATTTTTTAAAATATCTTTTCTATTTCTCCCTTTCCTGACTGTTGTAGAGTCTAATTACAGACATACTTCTTGTATGTTACAAAATTCTTTCTAATTTTCTGTTTCGCTTTGAATTGCTTCCTACTGCTGTGTCTAAAAAAAAAAATTCTCTGAACTTTTCTTCTGCTGTCTTGCTTACTATTAATGCTGTATAATTAACTTTTCACATCAGATGCATCCCTCTAGGAATCCCACTTAGGGGCTTTTAAATTTTATTATTTACTATAATTTGTATTTATCCTTGAGAATTCCATTACATGCATGAATATAGAATGAATATATATATGTATATATATTCATATATATAGAATATATATTCTATATTCTATGAATATTCATATTCATATAGAATGAATATATATGTGTATATATATATATAATGAAATATAAATTTCCTCCTCCAATTCCACCTGTAACCCCTAACTTGTCCCTGCCCCAATTTTATGTTATGTCGTCTTCTTCGTCTCCCTCTTCCTCTTTTTCCTCCTCTTCTCCACTAAGTCCAGTTAGTGCTGTTCATATGTGAATGGGTGTGAGGCCATCCACTGGAGCATGAGAAACCTGTCAGTGAGAACATGCTAAAAAAAAAAAAAAAAAAAAAAAAAAAAAAAAAAAAAAAAAAACCCGAGTTGCCCACTCCCAGAAGCTATCAAGAGTTCCTCAGTAAGTGCTCTCCTGGGGCCTGGAGCACCTCCCCCATCTATGCTGGGATTCTGACTGACTGGGTTTTAACAGATCTTGTACAGGTAACCACAGCTGCTTTTAATTCATAAGAACAGCACCACGTCTTGTCTAGGACTCAGCGTTTCACGGTGTTCCTCTCCATTCTCTGACTCTTATGTTCTTTCTGCTTCCTCTTCTGCAATGTTTAGGATCTTTTTTATGTCTTCCATTTCTCTTCTGGTTCTCTTCCTGGACATATGAAATGTATTTGTAGTGACCACCTAACACCCTTTTCTTTTCTGCTAATTCTAATGTCTGGGTTGCTTGGGGCTCTGTTGATCAGATTTTCTACTAACTGTGGATACTTTCTTGCTTTCTTGTATGCCTGGGAGTTATTTTCTTTCTTTCTTTCTTTCTTTCTTTCTTTCTTTCTTTCTTTCTTTCTTTCTTTTTTTTTCTGGATTCCAGGCATTTTGAATTTTTACACTGTTGGATGCTAGACTTGACTTTATTTTTGTGTGGATTTTGTGATAGTGTTAAGCAGCTTAGACCCAATTTTGAGTCTAAGTCGTATTTTTAAGTTACATGAGCTTAAGTCTATGGTAGTCTTTATCCTAGGGCTGATCTGGTTTTACTAGTGAGGTAACACCTTCGTAAGATTCCACTTGACACTTTGCTCTGACTACTGGGAAAATGAACTACTATTCCCAGGCGTGTAATCTCCAGTGAGCTCTCTTTGGATGGTTTTTCTCCTTGGCTTCTGTAATTTCTTCACACACATGCCCTCATGATTATTTAATCCAAATCCCTAGGATACCCTATAGATATCTGGAGTAGGAATTTCACACCACCTGCTCCATGTCCATCACAGTCTCTGTGTCTTTCCATATAGTAACTGCCATTTGGCATTTTGTGTTACAAATTCTAGTTGCCTAAGACTTGCTGAACTCCATTCAGCAAGGCATTTTCTCTATCCTCTTTCCCCAACCCTCACTGCAAGGCTTTTACTGAAGCCATGGGCTTCAGTGCATCCTGTGATGAGCCCCTGAGTACTGACCACAGCAGCATTCCTGTGCATACAACCACCTGGTGCTTAGTTGTTCCAGAGCACCCGGTCGCTCAGTCCCGTCCACAGACTCCGAAGGTGTCAGAAGCAAGCTGCACTGTGGATCCCAGAAATCATAGCTGAGAGCCTCCACACAGTACAGAGCCAGAAGTAATTATGGCTTTCTTTGCATCCATTTTTTCTGCTGTACTGATTTTCTTAATGTTGTTCTGCTTTGAATTGGTGATAGGAAATAGAGGGGCCTGATAAGAGGGCCAGTCAAATGTAAAATTTTCTTTTAAAAAAGTTTGTATTGTGTGTGTGTGTGTGTGTGTGTGTGTGTGTGTTTGCATGTGTGCACATGCAAGTGCCTTCAGAAGCCAGAAGAGGGTTTTGGGTCCCTCTGAGCTGGAGTTACGGGTAGTTGTGAGGTGCCTAACATAGGTGCTGGGAACTGATTTTGAGTTCTCTGTAAGAGCTGCAAGCAATCTTAAGTGCTGAGTTATTTCTCTGACCTCAAATCTAGGGGGTTTTTTTCTACAGAAAAATAACAACAAAAACCCTGAAAGTAAAGAATCCACTCATCAAAGATGAGATGTAAACAGTGCAGCAGGGCTCTGGCTCTGTGTTCTGCTTCTGTAGCCCTGTCCTGTGATGAAGATGATCTAGTTGTCCATAGACGCTGTTTACTTTGATACTCTGTCCTGTCTAGGATTAAGTGGCTGCAAGACGGAAGTAGAGTCCTCTTTGGAAAAGTGAGGGGAGACTGCATCTATGTCCTCATTGACACATCCCACTCGATGAAGAGCAAACTGGACCTGGTGAAGAATAAGATCATTCAGCTCATACAGGTGAGGTGGGACTGTCATGTTCTTGTGCTTGGACTGGTGTCTCCTAAACACATCTCCAATAGTCATTGTCAGTAGAGGCTCTGGGTAGTGGACAGGGCCACACTGCACTAAAGGGTCCCTGAGAAATACAGTCCAGAAATGCTCCCCTTTGCCATTCTTGAACTGTCAGTTCTCCCTGGCAATCAGACCCATCCTCTGTTGGGTCCCTTATGTCACCGTCACCTCTGGGTCACTTAAGTGTGCATCTATACTTGCCGTCCGGAGCTGTCTCTAACCTATGATACACAGAAATCTGTTGCTTCCCAGATATTTATTATCTTGAAGTTTTTATTGAATTTCCTATGTCTTTTAGGGAAGCTATGTGAACTGGCCCCAAAGCTGCGGATGGGAAGTGGGTAGGCTTGTGATGGAATCACCCAGTTTCTGTCCCATTCACCTGGGCTACCCTTGAATTGTTTTCTTGGAAGCAGGTTGCTTTATGAATCCAGTTTCCATAGTAACCAGGTCTCACAATATTATCATGAGTCTGTTGTGCTAAGAGTAGAGAATGTTTAAGAAATACAAAATAAAGCTCATAACCAGCTTCCTGGGGGTGGGGATGGGGGGTGCTGATGATAGGCAAGCAACTAGGTCTGTACCAAATAAGAGCCTTTCCAAGAGGTAGTGTCCAAAATGATGACATTTTGAGTTTTCTTTCTTTAAGGATTTAAACATGCTTATTCAGCATAGCATTAATATCAGTATTAAATGCTATGGTACAATATTGCTCACACATGCATATGTGGCCTATAATACTTTCTATACATTCATATATAACATCTGTAGAGGCCAAGCATCCAAACTGTATAATTTTGACTCAAATGCCTTTTGCAGCAGAAACTTTTTTTTCAATTGAACATAAATTGCAGCTAGCTTCTAGAACTAAAAATGGATATCCTAGAGACTCTCTTCAGTTTTTCTTACATTTGAGTGGTTTTATGGTTAAATAATAATTGTCTCTTACAGGAACAGCTGAGATACAAGAGTAAATTCAATTTTGTGACATTTGATGGCCAGGCAATTGCTTGGCGGGAAAAACTCACTGAAATCAATGAAGATAATTTGGAACAGGCTGAGTCGTGGATTAGAGACATTAAGGTAAAATGTCTAGTCTGGGAGAAGTCTTAAAATGTCTGAAAGTGTACTTAGTTTACTCATAGGATAGAAATGGTTGAGAAATGGATTGAGCTCCAAGAAAGGCAGTGTTTATACATGGGCAGTTACTTGGCTACAAAGGTCACATTCATCCAGTCTCATTAGTCAGTATCTTAACGTTTAGATAACATCTATTTATAGTCATCATCCCTTGGTATCCATGGGAGATTGATTCCAGGACCTCCCCCATATCCTATGAGAGCCACAGATGCTCAAATCCCTAATATAAAATGCTGTGAGATTTTTCAGAGAGCCCACACAAACCCCCGTGTGCCAAAAATCATCTTTGCACAGCTCACAACATCCAGTGCAAGTAACTGGTGTTATACTCTATCATTTAGGGGATAAAGACAGGCAATCTTTTATGCGTGTGTATTTATATATAGTGTGCATATGTATGTTATATATGTGTGTATGCAGATTTGTGCATGCAAATGCAGGCATGCATGAGCCACGGAGCTTGTGTGGAGACCAGAGAACAGCCTTATTTATATGTTATTCCATCTTGTTTTAGACAAAGGCCTCTTTGTTTTCTGCTGCTTCTATCCACTAGGGTAGCTATCCTGTGAGCTTCTGGGAATTCTCTGCCTTTCATCTCCTCACAAGAGTGCTAGGATTACAGATGCACACAATTGCACCCAGCTTTTTACGTGAGCCCTGGGCATTCAAACTCATCATTTGCACAACAAGGGCTTTGCCCGTTGAGCCGTCTCCCCGTCCCCAGACACAATCACTCTCATGTACATGTACATGTTTGTGTACTCATTCCACAGTTGTTTGGATTTGTGGGTGTGTAACCTTGGACAAGGAAAGGTGGCTCTCTTTTCAAATCTGTCCTGGGCTCAGTTTGCAGCCTCATGATGAAAACAGATTTCAACAGATAATATTTTGGGTACTCAGGCATTCAGATCTGTCCCATCTGACACCCCATCAGTGTTTCAGAGGCTCAAAGAGCCCACTGCAGCTGTTGTTAACATGAACTTTGTTCAGAAGCAATGAACTCCTGGAGACAGTGAAGTCTGAGCATCTAAGGCTGAGAGCAAGAAGAGAGAGGAGGATACAGGGAGAGAGTAAAGTCATTTCTCAGGTCTGCTTTTTCTTGGAGATCTACAAAGCTGTTGTCTCTTGTCACACGGGCTACTGGGAAAGATTTTTAAGTTTCTTTTAATTTTGAATATGCTCCAGAACCATATGGCATTCCAGATATTTGAGAGACGCTTAAATATCTGAGACAGAACTGTTTGAAAAGTTGCTTAAAATAGCTTGTAGCTTGAGTATAGAGTCCTAGATTTGCTCAGCAGCCACACCAGACTGAGCTCCTTGAATCCTGACTGATCAAAGCAGAGCCAGGCAGACACTGGGATGTCCCAAGTTCCTTTGGGACTGCTTTTAAAATGAGAAAACAAAGGAAGTATGTTGAATAAGAAGAAGGTATTATCTTTAAGTCATTGACCATCTTATCCTGGGGGTAGAGTGTCAAGATCATACTCAACTTAAGTTTCCAGTATTACCAGTGTTCTCCTTTTCGCAAACTACCAGTAATAGGAGTTATGTTGGTGATGGAGAGCTGTCTGTCTACCGAGGTATTATACATTCAGTCTTACTTGGCAAAGACATCTGTGGGTTCTGCTCTACTCCCATTGGTACTATCAGCAGAGTGGTAGTTCAGTTCAATCAGAGGCCATCAGATTTTCCACAAAAACATTTCTGACTGCAGTATCTCCTTAGTCTTCCCCAGTAGGAGAAAGCCTCTTGATCTTCCTTGGATTTACATAATCTTGATACTTTTGAAGAACACTGATACTTTCTAGAATGTTCTCCAGATTTTTGTTTCTGTTTTGTGACACTGGGAACTGAGTCAGAGCCTGGAACATGCTAGGCAAGTGTTCTCACTGAGCTCAGCCTTAGCCCTTTTAAATTTCAGTTTGAGGTTAGGGTTGCTAAGTTACCTAGGCTAGCCTTGAACTTGCAGTCTTCTAGTCTCAGTCTCTTATGTAGCTAGGATTATAGGTGTGTGCCACCATGCCTGACTTCTTCTAAGGCAGTCTCTTGCAGAGTAGCCCAGGTTGGCCCAAATCCAGCTTCCCTAGCCTCCCAAGTGCCAAGATTATAGCAGGAATCACTGAACCTAGCTACATTGGCTTTTTAAAACAGCCACCCTGTTTTTCTTTAGTTTCCTATATTGCTGTACTGTTGAATTTCTCTGATTCTGCTCTGGTATTATTTCTTTATTTCTGCTTATTCTGAGTGGGCACTGCTCTTCTTTTTGAAGGTTCTTTAGTTAATAACACAGTTTGCTTTGGGAGGCGTTTCCATTGTCCTAGCATAAACTACTAGTTGGCATAGGTTTCCCCACTGGCATTGTGGTAGCTACATTTTATAGAATTAAGTGTTTTACTTAATTTTCCATAATTTCTAGTAAGTTTTAAGTTTTTTGTGTTTTCTTTTTTGAACCATGAATTATTTAAAACCCATTATTTGACTTCCAAGTGTTGGAAGGTTTTCAAGATGTGTTTCTGTTATTAATTTTGATTCCATGATGGCTGAAGGCAAACTTGGCATGATTTAAATTGTTTTTATATTTGTAAAATGTTTCATAAAAATTTAAAACTTACTAGAAATTATGGAAAATTGAATAAAACACTTAAATTCATAGAATCTAACCCCCATAGTCCTGGCTATTAAAGAAAATAACCATAATTGGTCATTTATTTTTTTTCTTTTTCAGTTTCATCAAATTTTGTTTTGTGTATTTTGAAACTCTGTTGTTTGGTGCATATGTATTTAGAGTTGTTGTCTTTGTAGATTGAGCCTTCTGTCATTAGTTAATGGGCCGTTTTGTCCCTAGTAATGATGTTCACTATTCTAAAGCATGTAGTGAGTCAGGCTTTGTAGTACCTATGTGAATATCCCAACCCTTAGGAGGTAGAGGCAGGAGGGTAATGAGTTGGAAGCTATCTTAGCAAGACTAATCTCAAAAACAAAAATAAAACTTCAAATGAAAACCAACAAATCTACCCCCAAAACCTGAAGTGTGCTGTTAACATTGCTATTCCTGCTTAAAAGAATAAACCTACAATGTATCACTTTTATCCTTTTATCCCCAGTTTATCCATGTTTTTGTATTTGAAGTGGCTTTTTTTTTGTAGACATTAAGGGATCTGGTCAAGATTATGTTAAGTTCTCCAATCCCTGTCAAAAAATGGGGCATTAAGACCATGTGTGTATAATTGATATCTAAGGCTAATGTCTGCCATTTGGTTGTTTGCTTATTGTGGAATCCTTGGTTTCATTCTTTTCTCTTGCCTTCTCGTGGGTCCTTTGGGTACTTTTAGTGTTCCATTTTAATTTACTCATTTTACTTTTTACTGTGGCACCTCGTATGGTTTTCTGAATGCTTGTTCTAATGGCTTTCCATATGCAAAGTTGTCATTTCTCGAAGCTCCCAATCCTGATGTATTATGACTTCAAGTGAGCAAGCCTGATTTCAATTTACACCCTTTATGCTCCATACATATTAAAAGTGTAACTGAAATGGCTCTCTGTAAGTCATTATTGGTATGAAACCTGCTTAAACTGTAACACATGATTTGAGAAATTTGGGGAGTTAAAGATGGTCATATGTAATGACTTCCATGTTCAGAGTTTGAGTTTCTATTATTGTTTCTTTTGAGCCATAAGCTTCCATTAGCCACCCTTTAAAGATGAGACTCCCAGCAATAGAATCTCACAGCTCTCCATCAGCCACAGAGTAGATAGTTTCACCAGATGTAAGTTATGACTGGAGATTCATTTCTTTCAACACTTAAAACAAGTTGGGCCACTTCCTTATGTCTCTGTGGTTTTAGATGAGAAATGGCTGCCACCCAAATTGGAATTCCTTAATGGGCACTGTAATATGCTGTTTCTCTTTGACTGTTCTTAGGGAGGTTGTGTGTATGTGTGAGAGCATTTAATTTTCAGAAATTTACATCTAGCTATGATTTTCATAGATTTTTAACCTATTCGGGGTTTTCCCTCAGCTTCTTGAATTGTAGTTTTTATAATTTCAGCAAATTTGAGGATTTTATTTAGTTCAGAAACAATCATAATTTACATAGCAATCTCAGGTCCCTTTCCCTCCCATCTTTCCATTCCCCCCAGACTCCCCCTTTCCAGCCCCCATCCAATCTCCAAGGAGAGTGGAGCCTTCCCTGGGGAATCATCAAAGTCTGTCACATAATTTGGGAAAGGGCCTAGCCCCTCCTCTGTGTATCTGCATGGAGAGAGTATCCCTTCATGGGAAATGGGCTCCCAGTGTCCATTTGTGCACCAGGAATAAACACTGGTTTCACTGTCACAGGTCCCGTAGACTGCCCAGGCCTCCTAACTGGCATCCACATTCAGAGGGCTTGGTTCGGTCCAATGCTGGTTCCCCAGCTTTACGACTGGAGTCCATGTGCTCTCACTTGGCCAGGTTCCCTGTTTTTGTAGGTTTCTCCAGTATGGTCCTGGCCCCTTTGCTCATCACTCCTTCCTCTCTACAACTGGATTCCAGGAGTTCAGCTCAGTGCTTAGCTGTGGGTCTCTGCTTCTGCTTCCATCAGCTACTGCATAAAGGCTCTAGGATGGCAATTAAGGTAGTCAGAAATCTCATTATAGGGGAAGAGCTTTTAAGGTAGCCTCTCGACTATTGCTTTGATTATTAGTTGGGGTCAACCTTGTGGATCTCTGATTTCCCTAGTACCAGATTTCTCGTTAAACCTATAATGGCTCCCTCTATTAAGGTCTCTCTTTTCTTGCCCTCCACTATTCTCCTGACTCAGTCTTCCTGCTCCCTCATGTCCTCCTCCCTCCTCCTCTTCCCCTTCTCTTTCTCCTCCCACCCTCCTCCCTCCCCATTCTCCCAATTTGCTCAAGAGTTCTTGTCCCTTTCCCCTTCTCTGGGAGACCATGTATGTAAATTTGAGGATTTTTTTAAGAAAAGATTTATTTCTTTTTAACAGTTGTCAAAAATTTATGTATTTGTTGCTCTTCTTTTTGAGGTATGACTGTATATAGCTCAGGCTAGCCCTGAACTTGAATTTGTACCATCCTGCCTCATACTACCACTAAGATTATAGACAAGCTCCACAAACTGCTGTGATAACCACCTTATAAAATTACTACTGCATTAATGTTTTTATATAAATCTGTTCTTCTGAACCATCTATACGGTATGATGAAGTAAAAAAAAAAAACTATCATCTATCAGTTTTTGAAGAAAAAGTTGTCAAACAGTAAATGTATATATAATAATTGGTTACATATTAGATGCAAATTTTCAAGCTAGTTTCTCAGGAGGAGAGAGGGCCATTTAAGAGAGAGACAGGTACAAAGGTACAGAGTTTGTATTACAAGACAGCAAATAAGTGGGGGTAGAAGGTGCTTGATGAAACAAGATAGAGAAAGGAAGAACTACCAGAAGACACCTCAGCCGGTAAAGGTGGGTGCTTCCCACCTAGTCTGATGACCTGCATTCAGTCCCCCAGAACTCAAATGGTGGCGGTGAAAACTGACTCTCCCAGGTTGTCCTCTGACCACCACACTTGCCTTGGCATTTCCACACCCCCTATACACACACCCCAACACAAAGTAAATATATAAATGTAATAGAAGCAACTTAAAAAACCAAACAGGGTAACAAAAGAAGAAGCACCATTAGAGAAAGAGAAAGGGGGATACAATATGTTTTACCTTTTGCTGGACAGAGAAGGGAGAGGTGTTGAAGTAAACACCCAGGTTCAAATGGGCCAGATTTATTTTTCATGATTTTAAATTGTATATCTATGTATTTATATATGTATATATCTATGTATATCTATGTATATATCTCTTTCTATATATACAGATACACACACACACACACACACACACACACACACACATATATATATATATATATATATATATAGAGAGAGAGAGAGAGAGAGAGAGAGAGTGTGTGTGTGTGTGTGTGTGTGTGTGTGTGTGTGTGTGTGTAAGTGGGGCTATGCATGTAAATGCAGGTGCCCACATAGGTCAGAGCATCATATGCTCTGGAGCTGGCACACATGATTGTGAGCCACCCAGTGTAGGTGCTGGGAAAGAAATTTGGGTCCTCCACAAGTACATGCTTATAAGCCCCAAACTGTCTCTCTAGGCCCTTGGGTGTTTTTTTTTTTTTAAGCCATAAATATTTTTTTAAAATTCTTCACTCTCCCCTCTCTCTTTTTCTGAAACTCTTATAGTATTAATCTGCTTTATTGTCTCTGTGATCTCTGAGGGCATCAGTTGGACCACTTATCTCAGACAAAAGAGCTATTTCTGGTTCTTTGTAGGATGAGTGATTTTTCTTTATTGCATTCTGGGAAATTTTTATCATTATGTCAAGAGACTCTAATCCCAGTGAAGTCTTGTCACTTAGCAAGCAGACACGGTATTTAGGTTTAGCCTGTTCGATCTGGCATACATGTGTGGGCTTTTGTACCAGCAACAATTTAGTTTGCAGAGCCCCCTCATGCTGCCAGGACTCCCATTCAGATCCTGCTTGGTGCTATCATAGGGGTGCAAGGCAAATCCCTGAGCTGCCTGTTACTGGCGGGAGACCTTCTGAGGACACAGGAATAGAAATTGCTAGGTCTGAGTCTCCTTATGCCATAGGGTAAAAATACAGTATTGCTTAGTCTACTAGATTTACTTTAGTAGATTTACTTGGTAGATTTTTTTCTTATTATTATCTTCAGCACTGCCACCACTTTCCCAACATTTTGCTTTATGTGGATGCTACAGCAATAAAATTACTTGTCCAATCCTGAACAAATAGGAAGTAGGCGCTCCCATAGTAATCTCTATTTGCCTACTCATCCATTCATCTTTTAGTAGTCTTCCATGCTAGCCCCACCTTGAGGTGTCTTTAGCTATCCACTCAGCTAGAATAATGCAGCCTATGCCAGGCATCACTGGAGCAGTGTTATAGCATAGTGCTTGGTAGTGTTTCCAAGCTCTTGGCACAGCCCTGTCAACTCTTCTCAAGACAGGGTTTGATCTGGTTTGGTAAGTTGTGTTCTAGTCCCATCATGATGCATGGCAAGTGCTTATTAAATACCCACAGAGAGTTAGCGGAGGCTAACAGAAGAGGAAAGGAACTGCATGGGAGGGGTCATAGCACCCCCACCTGTGTCTCTGTTTAAGCAGCCTTAGCAGAAAGGGCATCCAAGGCCCACAGTGAAGCTTGACAAGATTTGGATACGTGCTGGATGCTTGTCATTCCTTTGGCCACCAATCTTCATCTTCTCATACTAATTCTTATAAGGAAGGTAGAACCTGCTCACCCTATAGAAGCTGAAACTCTGGCCTCTACTCGGCTCAGGAGCAAGTATGCTGCTCAGGTGCACAACCTCAGAGTACCCTCCCTGGATTTGAATTGAGAGACAGTGACTCTAGATGGAGGGTCTACCAGCAAGAACCCTGACAGCGGTGGCATATGCATACTTGTGAAGCTTCTTGGGTGGCAGAGGCAGTAGGCTGCTGGTCCATCTCATGTCTGACAGTCCCTGGTTTGGTGTGGCTAGCCACAACATCTGGTGCCCTGGTGGTATTTCAACGGGGCCCCTGCCAGGCAGGCTTGCAGCAGAACTGGGGTCCATGCTCCATGGTGTGAGGTCCCAAGATAGGTTTTCCTGCCAGATGGCAATACTGTGAGCCATCCAGATGCCCTTTGCTTAAATTCCTGCTTGCTTGGATCAATCACAGTTGCTTTTCTTGCTCACAACTCTGTTTGAATTGATACCCTGAGTCTGAGATGAGGAGGAAGGCTTAAGTAGGCTTTGGAAATCTTGAAGTGCCGTGTGTCTTACTGACAGAGATTATATCTTGGTAAGGCTCATTTTTGTATGTTAAACAAAGTGCATTCTGGCGAATCTAATTTATCTGATTTCACCCCATTCTGTACTGATACACGAGATTTTCTAATTTATAATTGTTTGATGTGTTTGGTGACATTGTTAAAAACCTATCATTCCCCCTTGACATGCAATGTCTGTATTCTTTCTTTCTTATACAAAGAATTGTAGATGGTGTTATGATTAATGTCATACGTAAGAGAGAAAAATAAGCCATAATTTATTCTCTTTGATTGATTATGATTTTATTTTATACAGTTAGCCCTCAGTAGCCATGGGAAAATGGTCCTAGGATCACCTCTTTCCTTCTAGATACCCACATTGACAGATGTTGCTTATATAAAATGGGACATGTTTGCATATGAGCTGTGCATACCCTTTTGTATCTTTTCAATAACCAGGTTATGTATATATAATGTAATATAAATGAAATTATACTTACAATAGCATAGTGCATACTTACTATTTTTTTGGGAGGATAACATTTTTTTTCAATATTCAGTATCTGTGTAATTTTCTTCCTAAATATTTTAACTCATTTGATTGAATCCCAGGGATATGGAACCCATAGATCCAGGTTGCCAGCTATGTCTGTTTATTTCCACCATACACAAAGCAGAATATCAGGACCCCATGAATTCCCTTAAGACCCAATAATATACCATTCATTTTAAGGGCAGTTCTCCATCCTAACCTTTGTAGGTTGGATTTATGCTGGAAGCATTCATGTGTTCATCATTAGGCCATTAATAAGACCACACTCGAGTTTGCCAAATACTGGGTGACATGAATAAATCCTGAGTTGAAACAAGCATGATCCCATCTGGGATGCATTCAGGCTGCTTGATTCAGCTCTGCTGACAGCAAAGTCATCCTTAACTGAGTGAGCATCTCACACAAAAACACAGATGAAAATGACATTAAAACTGCTGTTGTCAAGGCAGGAAACCCACAGCCTTGACTTATAGCAGACCTTGGACTACCTGGCTAGAGACCCTGATGGCACACCTGGGGATTTGGTTTCTTGGAATAGCTGGTCTTAAATCATTTTCTCAATGAAATTTAGTCTGTTATTTCAGAAGTGTCCCTCACCCCCGTACACGCCGTTGAGCAAAGGATATATTTCACGTTCCTCTGTGATCTCCTTTGGCTGTCTCTTTTCTTCCCCCCTAGGTTGGAAGTTCCACAAATACTCTGAATGCCCTGAAAATTGCTTTTTCTGATAAAGAAACACAAGCCATCTACCTTTTGACAGATGGGAGACCTGATCAGGTACTCACTACAACTGCTAAAGAAGACCAGTTCAAGAATGTCCTGAAAGGGAATGCTGAGAGGGGAACTGAGACTTTTGTAGAGGACATCATAAAGCAGAGAAGCTGATCTTGGTGACTCAGACCTGTCATTCCACTTACACAGGAGACTGAGGCAGGAGGATGGCAAGTTCAACAGCTGCTTGGTTATAGAATGAGTTCGAGGCCAACATAAGCAGCTTAGCAAGGACCCCATGTCAAAATTTTGTTTTGAAAAACTTGAAAAGAGGGTTACGGATGTAGCTCAGGGTTGAGTACTTGCCTAAGCATTCAGGAGGCTCTGGGTATTGAACCCAGAACTCTGGGTTCAATACCCAGAGCCTCCCAACCCTCAGAGGTATTGAGAGATATGTCCCTGGCATAGAGAACCAGAAGTGAGGTAAGAAAAGACACCAAGGAACAAACATTCATGCCTTCTGTAACTCTGAGGAGCATTTATGGCCATACTGATGGTGATGGATGTTTTATGCTTAATGTGACCCAAATTCACAGTCCTGGAGACCATGCCCATGTCCATTGCACACTGGCTTATGTTTTATGACCATGGAGATTGCTCTCAATTTCTTTCCTTTGAGGGCTCAATCTAAACATGTCACCGGGCAACATCCTTGGTTCTATCCCCAATTTTAGCTTCACCCTCCCTTAAACCAAAAGCACGCCTTTCAGCTGAAATGCTCTTGGCTTTGTTTAGCCTGCCTGGAAAATATTTGAGAAGTTTCAGAAGAGTCTGTTCTGTTTCTTTCTAGCTTTGTGAATGAAAGACAAGTACCTCAGGCATTAAGTAAATAGAGGATTTTCCAGGCCAGCACAATGTAAATTGACTGCTAAAGTGAATTAGTATCAACATGTATCCTGCCCCAGAAGATGTTTATATGTGCAGACTGCCTATTCTAAAATACCCTGTGTCAAATGGCTCAAGAATTAAATACTGAAGCCACCGGATTTTATCACTGCATTATATTCATGGCAGAGAAGTGGCGCTTTAGTGAAATTTAATTTGGAATGTTCTTCCTGTCAACTTCACTGGACTTTCTATTCAGAAGCTGTCTGTGACTCCCTTGCATGGCTTAGGTGGTGCCAAGGTTTGAGTGATCCTTGCCTTAGGGAAGTTTACCTTTAGGGAATGTGCTACATGTATACAGTTCATTTTGATACAATCCAGGGGCTGAGATTGTCTGGCCTATGTCTAGCAGCTCAGAGGGATGGATTTAGCTATACAAGATGGACAGAAAACCAGGGAGGGTCCTCTGGTAGAGGCAGGGATGTGGACTATACCTGGAAAGGAGAGAGAACTTTCTGAACAGGGAAGACCAAATTGTCCTGGGTGTTGGGTACAGAAGAGGGGGCATATGGGCAGGAGGGTCACACTCAGAGAAACCATCAGGGCATGATGGAAGTGTGCAATGTAAGCTGAGGAAATGTGACAAGGGGCTGCTGTGCAGGTCAGAAGAGTGGGTGTCACCACAGTGGGGACCTTTCATAAGAAAAGAACTTGTCACCGCTCCATAGTTTGGAAACAGGATGCCCTGATAATGCCAGGGACAAGCTGTGCCAGAGCTTCTGCTGGGACCTCGACAAGGGCCTGTAAGCAGTATCCCCTGCCATCGCGAGAACTGGGGAGGAAGAGGCTTCCTTCAGAGTCAACAGGGCTTGGTACCCAGTTTGGGAGCAGGCAGTGGGGGAGAGGAGAAGGCCAGAGGAGGGTAGAAAGAGGTTAACTGCTTTCTGACTCACTATGATATTAGCAACCCAAGTGGAATTTCAATTAAGAGCAAACAGGTCCGGGGTGCTGGTGAGCAGATTATTTGTATACTTGGGCTACATGGGTGTCCAGAAGCCCCAAGAAATATGAGAATGGTTCAGTAGCCCAGGGTTTCCCACATTGTAGCCCCCTGCAAGGATCTAGAATCCCACATTATCCAAAAGGCATTCACGTAGCTTTCTGAGGATCAGTAACTTTTCTGAGAGAGACTGTGATTCATTTAAACACAAAACACTGAGGAGGTAGGTGAGAGCTGGAGTTCGAAGAATGACAATTGCCCAAAACGTAATTTATCGGTGCTTCAAAGTGTTTCATGTTCACATGTGGGTCTCTTTACTTTGCATTGTCTCGAAGATTCTGTCAACAAAGCAAATGGATATCAGATATTTGTGTTCTGTGTAAAATATATTAACAAGTCCCACCCAGCGTCTTTTTAGTAGTGAAGACAAGTTCAAACCAACACGTGGCTCAGGTGCTCTGAACTCTCTCAGGACATCATATAAGATGAGCTGGAGGGAGGGCGGGCAGAGTCCTTGAGGGTGGAGTGACTTGTTTGTCAGTTTTCACCACCTTTGAGGAAGCTCACTGTGTAAGGCCAGTGTGATTCAAAAGGCAGTGTTTTCTTCTTGGATGAACACGTGGACCATCTAGATTCCACCGACATCCGCTTACTATCTGTTTCATGACAGATATGTGTCTTTAAAACTCATCGTGTTACAAGAATTCTAGAAATGCCAGTCTTCACTACGGGCCAAGTCTAGTCCAGCTTTGGCTCTGGTTATTTTAGGACTCCTTCAAAATCAAAGTCTTTACGAATGGAGTCAATGATTAATTTTGCACCCTTCTAAAATGAAAATAAAAGATAAAGCCTAACATGAGCCCTGTGAAGTCTAGGGGATGGGAAGTCACAGGTGAGGGGCCTGCCCAGGTAGACCTTAAGGTAATGAGAAAACCCAGTTTCCCGCTCTCTCATAGCTCTGGGTTGATGATGGAGAGCTCACAGCACACCTTGCTGCTCAGCTTCCTCTAAGGGACTGAAGAGAGCTGGCAGCCTCTGTGAGGAACATAGGAGAGAGTCCCTGGGCTGAGAAAAGCTTCCTCACTGTTTCATAGGAGGGTGAGAGGCTATGGCTCCTCCACTTGACAGCCCTGAGGAACCTGCAAGTAAGGCTCTGTGAAGAAATCAGAGTGGGCCAGGCTGCTGTGGGAAGAGGCTGATGTTGACCTTCGGAGTCTTCATCTTCAGTGCCCCGAGGCTGTAAACCAGCTGCAGCAGTCTACAGCAGGCAGAAGATAGGAATGACCATTGCATTCCATGGAGCTTGCTTTCCAGTCTAGGGCACACCATTCCTCTCCCCCCAGCTCTCTAATGCCACAGGGGGTGCTAGAACACCATGCAAGCTTAGCACTATGGAGCTGGGGTTGGGTACAATGGTGGGCTTACTATGTTGCTCCTAATGTGCTCTTTAGCTGGATAGAACAATGGGAATGGCTTAGAGATGGAAATGTGGCTAGAAACTGGCCCAACACTGTCCATCAGAGCATCCTTGGGCAACTGCAGTTTCCTTATCTGTGGTTTAAGGCTGGTCCTCCTTCCTGCCAGGGTTGCTCTGAGGAAATAAATGAAATGATATTTCCATAAATGACCTCCATAAATATTGAGTGAGTACCAGAGCTTCTCTTCTCAGCCTGAAGCTGTTATTGAGCAAGATGAACAAGGTACTGGCCTTCAGGGAAGCTTTTAGTAGAAGGAGAGGCAGTAAGCAAATAAATGCATGCTGTCTTATAGCTAATGAAGTAGAGACACCAGCTATGGTTTCCCAGCATGCAGTTGGAATTATAGTGCTGTTGTTTTCCTTCCTCTCTCAAGTGTCTCTGCTGTAAATCAATGTTAAGAGCAGTGCCTTGCTGACACCATTTATTTGATGACCAGAATAAGGGTCTGTCTCTTGTCCGGTTTGTTGAGTCAAGGAGCAGAGACTGTATAGCCCTTGTAAGAAATAAAACCTGCAAACTTCCTTCAAAGGTCTCCAAGGATTCTAGAGAAGCCTAAGCACAGCACTTACCTAGCATCTAGTAAGCGCTCAGAAAGGGGAGCTGAGCTGGAAGGAGGCAGGGATGGCATGTGGACTAAAGTTTCTGTCCCTCCCAGTCTTGTAGTTGTTAGTTCCAAATAAACACAGAGAGGCTTACATTACTTATAAATTGAATGGCTGATGGCTCAGGCTTCTTATTGGCTAGCTCTCTTAATTATTAACCCATTTCTATTAATCTGTGTATCTCCATGTGGTCATGGCTTACCAGAGAATGACTCCATGTCCTACCAAGAATCTCCTTGATTCTGCCTACTACCTTTCTCTATCCCTGCTCTTATTTCCCACCTGGCTAAATCCTGCCTGTCTATTGGCCAAAACAGCTGTATTCATCAACCAATAAGAGAAAGGTATTTTCACAGCATACAGAAGGACACCCCCATCAATGGCACACCTCTCTCAGGCCTTGTAGTTTACAAGAGAAATAGGGGCAGCTTGTTGGTTATGTTGAATTGATGTTTGGCTAGCAAACAAGCTGATGGTCAGAGTAAATGTGTTGATGAGTAGTGTAGTCTCAAGGCCAGAGCTAAACAGACTCAGGGTATGTTTGAGTGATGGCTTACACAAGCTCAGTCTCTGGGGGCCTTTTAAACAGCAGCCTCTTCAGGGAAGGCCAGCTGGCTATGAGTATAGTCCCCTCTCATTCATCACCCTTTCCCCGGGGATTCATGGGAAAATAGATGAGGCAAGGTTATAGGACAAGGCACAGGAACCATAGGTAGAAGATGGAACTTGCTGAAGGAGCAAGGAAGCTGGATGAACTTCTAACACCGAGAACATGGGAGGGTCCTGGGACAACTGGGGATAGTTTCTGAAGGCACTAGTTTGGCTGTAGTGAGGAGGAAGATTGCAGAGGAATTCTTTCTTGGGAGGCAAGCAACGGTACTGCAAGTTGATCCTCGCCAAAAGGTGATCTTTGTCACACTCCAGGAGAGTAAATCATCTGCCAGTGCCCCTAGAACTGAAGTGTGGGTGTGTTCTCCACTTTTATCACCTGAGAACTGGGTGACACGGGGAAGCTTAATTGTACAGAACCTCAGTTTCTCCACCATTAATTAGAGGTGCTAGCTATGTGTCCCTTGAAGGGAATGGCCAGGGAAAGAGAGGACAGCAGGCAAATAACAGACAACTGACAGCTACATTTACAGCTGTAGCTGTCCTAGTTACGCAGCAACCCATACATGGGTCCCAGAATGCATGCTTTCTCTTGTCCTCACACTCCACAGTCTTTGAATATGTTTTATGTCCTCATGGTCACAGCATGGCTGCTACTATTGTGGGTGGAAGATGCATTTTCTAGGAATGGAGAAGGATATTAGACTCCTGTTTGTCTTTATATGGAGAAAGGGAATCTCTCCCTGAGAACTTCTAGGTCTCATTAGTCAGAATTGGGTGGTTTGGCCACTCCTAACTGTGAATGGTAAATTGTACTGTGTTATCACTGATGGTTTTTGTGATTTGCTTTTTGTTTGTTTTTTTAAACTGAGAATATGACTGTCGTGGGAAAAAAAAAAAAACTAGTGTTTTGTAGTTTTAAAAGACAAGAAGAATGGATAGTAGCTGGGCCGGCCATTATTCCTTCCAGGATGTGTAAAAGGATTAACTAAAAGTTGTAAGGAGGAACCAGGAACTTAAGCCCTAAACGAAAAGCCCAGTGCATGGAAAGACTTTTAACAGTTCTTCCCTTTTTCTCTCCCTCTATCTCTGAGAAGCAACTTGCCTACAACATGGCAAAAGCGGAACTTACTCTTTTGGTAGAGATGATTAGAAGCCAAATTGGGAAGCCAGGCACCCACTGTGTGGGACCCCAGTGGCCAGGGTGCTCTCTCCATGGGTCTCCATCCCAGGCCTTTCTCTAGTCCAGACCACGGCACAGGTGGCATGGCTTCTGTGCTTAGTGTACTTCAAGTTGAGGTGATTCTGTTAGATAAACCTTTTTCCTAACTTCCTTTTCCCACCACAGTGTGAATTTCAGAGGGAGAAGACCATGGCCTTTGGGTCCCCATGCTCTTTGGTAGTCGGTTTGCATATCGAAGTGAATTAACACATAGACAAAAAGTCACTCACTGTATGCACAATTCCTATCTCAGAATTTGACTGCCTGTGGCAAATACGAAGAATTTGTCAGATGATACCATTTTCTTTCTTTTTTACCCTCCCCCATTTCTCTTATTTATCATTTCAGCCACCAGAAATGGTGATGGACCACGTCAAACTCTTTCAGAATATCCCTATCTATGCCATCTCCTTCAATTACAACGATAAGCCTGCAAATAAGTTCTTGAAGGAGCTTGCTTCTTTGACTGGAGGAGAGTTCCATGCTTATGACTTTGCCTGCAAGGATCCCATTCTTCAGGATATTCAGGTGGGAACTTGATGCACTGAACAAGATGCATTTATCTTTTCGAGTGTTGCAAGTCTCAGATCAGGGGCAGCACCTGAGTTGGAAAAACTGTAGCCTTATACAAAAGTATGCAAGCAGCCAATGCACTAATGATGCACCAGTGTTTCTCCAAAATGTGGTCCAAGGATCTCAGGACACTTATGACATTGTGAACCTTGTGATCACAGGTACAATCCAGGAAGTCCTATAGGTATAATGGCCCAAGGATCTTAATAAATTTTGTTTTCTTTGTGATAGAAAGTCTTATATAGACACAAAAATATAAAAGTACATGGGTCAAATTTAACCACCACTCAATTCAACGATTAGGAACATTTTGTCAAAATTCAGGGGTCTGTTTTAAAAACAAGGATCCCAAGGAATGTTTTATTTTTAATTTTTCAAAAAATATGTTTTATTAGCTTATGGGTGTAGGTGTTTGCCTGCATATATGTCTGTATGCTACATACATGCCTGGTACCTAAAGACACCAGAAGAGAGCTTCAGATACCCTGGAATTACAGATGGTTCTAAGACACCATGTGACACTACTGCTGTATGTGAGAAACTACATATGTGTGAGAAACATTCAAAAAGGGGATCTAACCATGTGACCATCAGATAAAGCAATTCACTCAGATGGGCAAAGAGGGGAAAGTAAATGAAAGTATTCCCCAATCCTCCAGTCTTGCCCCGAAGCTCTGCTAGAGGAATGTGGAGTTGTTGCTTTTTGCCTTCTTGTATACCATACCCACGAAGAGACTTTAAACTGTAGCCAGGAGTTATAAGCACAAATCAGAAGCTGATCAACACTTAGACTAAGACTACTCGAGTCTGTGGACTGAACTAGGCAGAGGATCAGAGGGAATTGTGCTGTGCTGAGACCACCCAAGGTGGGGAACAGTAATGGATTGGTTAGTGAGCATGGGAAACTTCGTCCTCCTTTGGGTGTTTTGTAGAACACACAGAATTGTCATGCTTCCCTAGTGGAAATCTTAAGGACAAGGCTTGAGAGAATGAAACTACTTCCAAATAACTCAACCACATGCATCATAGAGCAACCCCCCCCAATAATGATAGGGAAACAAACATATCTACATTGTCTGGAAACCAATCACATATTACCAGGCATGTGGAACAGTAGGGAAAAAAAGCTCTGTAGCTGATTTTAAGGTGTGTGTGTGTGTGTGTGTGTGTGTGTGTGTGTGTGTGTATTGTATGTTTGTATGTGTGTGTGTGTAGCTGTGTTAATGTAGACAACGTGGCTTTGGTGGGGGATAGCTACATAGACCATTGGAACAACCATGCCCACACACTCCTGACTACTTCTAGACAATTCAGAGAAGGAAAGATCGCCTTTCCACAAGCAAAATGATAAGCCTCAACCCAAATCTGATCTTCATCCACATATAGATCATTAACAAGCTGAGTGGATCATGAGCTTGAATATAAAACACAAAATTATAGAGGTTCTAGAAATAAGCTAAGGCCTTGTGGCATAGGGCTGTAATCACAGCTATTCAGAACCAAGGGAATCAGAAGTTCCAGATTTGCCTGGGTCATGTTTAGTCCAAGGCCAGTGTGCTGGCTAGTTGATTTTGTTTTGTTTTGTTTTAATGTCAACTCCACACGATCTACAGTCACAATCCCTCGATGAAGAGAAAGCCTTCATCAAGGGACTGCCTCCATCAGATTAACCTGCAGGCAAGTCTGTGAGCATTCTTCTGATCAATAATTGATGTGGGAGGGCCCAGCTCACTGTGGGTAGTGCTACTTCTCGGCAGGTAGACTTGGGGGATATAAGAAAGTCAGAGAGAGCAAGCCAGTAAGCAATGTTCCTCCATAGCCTCTACTTCACTTCCTGCCTCCAGGTTCCTACTTGAGTTCCTGCTCTGACTCCCCTCAATGAAGGACGGTGACCTGTACGACGAAATAAACCCTAGTCAGAATGTTTTATCACAACAACAGACAGCACACTAGAATAGCCAGCCTGCAAAATGCAATGAAACCTTTAAGAAAAACTTAAAGAGGGTCTGGGGAGATATAGATCAGTGGTAGAGCACTTGTCTAACATGGACAGTTTCCTGGGTTCAATCCCCAGGGCTATAAAAGTAACGTCTACTTAGAAAACCTGAAGAACATATGCAGCCATTCCACTGAAGAGGCCCCATGGATGTGCTGAATAAGCACACAAGAGGGGGCTGGGCACCACCAGTCTTAGGGGAATACAAGCTGAAGTCCAGACATTGTCACTCCAGACAATGTCACTCCAGGCAGAGGAAACTGAGTGCTGGTGGAATGAGAAACCAGGTCACTAACACATTGTTGGCTGGAGTACAAAACACGGGCACGCTGAAAAGCAGTCTGGCCATTTCTATAAAAGCAAAATATTTAATTACCATATGATCTGGTCCTTGGTCTACTGGGCATGCATTTCAGAGAATGAAAGCTTATATTCATATAAAGTATAAGTAGCCTTCCAGCTATCAAAAATGGTTGAGTTCATAGTTAAATGGTTTCCTCACAGGTGACTCCAGCCCCAGATGACCTCACTGCTGAATTGTACCAAATATTAAATATGAAAGTAATAGCAATTCTAGGGCTGAAAGTATAGCTCAGTGAGAGAACATTTGCTTAGCACATGCAAACATCTGGGTTTGATCCTCTGTCCTGGAAAGAAAGTTGTTCTTTGTAGATAGATTCTTCTAGAACTTTGAGAAGAGGGGGCACTTTCCCACTCCTCCTATAAGACAAACACTGACTTGATACAGAAATCTAACTAGAAGGTGATATTCCTCGGGTATAAATATGCAAAAGTCACCAACAAAATTTAACAAATAAAATACAGGAAACATCTGACATGCCCTACCATGGTGGATTTAGTGCAGACATGCAATGCTAGTTTAACATTTAAAAATCAACATATAGATCACCATATTAGCACACTTATTTTTGTCTTTCTTGTTTTATTTTATGTGGATGAGTATTTTGCCTGCATGTGTGTCTGTGTCCCACATGCATGACTAGTGTCCTTGGAGGCCAGAGGAGGACATTGGATCCCCTGGAACTGGATCACAAATGTTTGTTCCTCTGGGAGAGCAGCCAGCGCTCTTAACTGTTGAACCATCTCTCCAGTCCATTATTGTAATTTTTATTTATCCTTTGGAAATCTCATACATGTACACATCCTCCACCATTCCCTTTGAACTCTCCCAGAACCCACCAACACATCTCATGACTTCATGTCTTTTAAAAAAAATTATTAATAGCTTCCCGAGTCCACTCAGTGCTGACCATAAGTGAATGGGTACAGGGCACTGACTGGGTCATAAGCAGCTGTCGATAGCCAATCCAGCTTATTAAAGACACAACAAAACTTAAGGCTGGAGAGATGGCCTGGCGATTAAGAATACTTGTTCCTCTTCCAGAGGACCCAGGTTCAGTTCCCAGCACGTGGATAGCAACTGACAACCAACTGTAACTCCAGTTTCAGAGGATCACACACCCTCTTCTGGCTTCCACAGGCACCAGGCACGTGGCACACAGACATACATGCAGGTAAAATGCTCATACACATAAAATTAAATACATCCTTAAAAAATATAGCCATTTCAATTTATACATTAAACACTTTTTACCAAATTCAACGCACACTTCTGTAATAATTAAATCCTCAAATACCAGGCAAGGTACAAGGATGCTTGTTCATGCCACTTTACTACATCAGAAGCATAAGGAGTGAAAGGCACCAGGTGGGGGGGCGCCTATGTTTGTTTACATTCAGCATCATCATCTAGTTAGAAAATACCATTGAATACACAAAGGAGTTACAGGAACTAATTATTTACTTAGCCAGATTACAAGTCATAAGACTAAATGTACAAAAACAACTTTGCTTCTACCTTCTAGCAAAGGACAATAGACATTTTAAATAGAACTCACTGACAATAGCATCAGAAATAAAAAGAAGAAAACTTTGTGGGGATAAATCTATCAAAATAGGTAGGTCTTGTCATGGACCACAGTGAAACACTGCTGAGAGGTGCAGTCAGTATGTGTCAGAGGACTTGACAGTGTGAAGCTGTCCATTCTCTCCCAATGGATCTGTCTTTCAATACAATCCCAGTCAAAATCCAAGCAGGATTTTAACATGTGTGTGTGTGTGTGTGTGTGTGTGTGTGTGTATTTGTGTATTTGTGTATATGTGTGTGTGTTTAGATAGGATATAAAATTATAATCTATAGATGAATAAATTGATCATTTGGAATAAACCAAAATTAGAAGCTTCTTCTCTGAAAAGACTGCTGTAATGTTAAAAAGAAATCCTGTAGAGTAGGAGGGAAACATTTTCAAATTCTGTGTTCACTAAATAACTTATACCCACAATATTAAAAAAATTCTCAAAATTCAATAATGAGAAAACTCAAAATATGGGCCAAATATTTGAACAGACATTTTTATCAGAAAGAATATAATTGGGACCAGGTCAAGGGGGTACACACCTTGAGTTCAAGGCTAACCTGGGATATATATAGCAAGACCCTGCTTTAGGGAACAACAACACATTAACAAAAGAATATGCATATGGTAAATAACATGAAAGGAGGCACATCTTGGTTAGCAATGGGAAATCCACATTAAAACCACAAATAGACACTATTATGCAAGTGTTAGAAATGGCAGCCAGCTGTGCTCTATAGTTACAAGGATGTGGAGTGTCAGGGATCATACCTTGCTGGCAGGATTATAAATTGAACAACCATTTTGAAAAACAGTTTGGTAATTCATCCCAAACAGTGACATCACCATCCACATGATCGAGTTATCCAAGGCTCCTGTTTACCAAAAATAATTAGAAGCTTATGTCCACCCCAGTGACTCATACATAAGTGTTCATTGCTTTATCTGCAGCAGCCCAAGCCTGGAAAGAGCTCAGCTGCCCGTGAACAAGTGAATGGATACATTTTTATATTTATTATCACAGCAGAAAACTATTTAACAATAAGATGAATAAATAAAACTACTTAACCAGTAAAATGAATGAATGGTGGGTTCGTTCACACTGCAATGTGAGCGAATTTCAAAACAATTATGAGTGGAGGAAGCTCCAGAGGATCCGAGCGTTTATTGTATGATTCCATTTGCAGAAAATTCAAACTGATGTGTAATGACAGAATATGTTGACTAACTGCTTGATAATTGTGGAGAGAGAAGGAGACCAGATTTACAAATGGGGGTGGGGGTGTTTGGGGGAGGTGGTGGCTATGTTTACTTCCTTTTGTTGTAATAACTTCCCAAGTGTGTAAATTCCCTTTATTGTATGTGGCTAACAGACATTCAGGCTGGTTGGGCATGGGAGGGTGAGAACTCCGGGAGATTCTTTAGGTTTTTCTCTGCCTGATGGCGTGGTCTCCATCCAGGGCGTTTGCCCTCTCGTGCGTGGGAGCTTCAGACTGTCCACTTCTCATTTCACCAGGATGAAAACATGAGCCTTTTGATTCAGGAAGTGCAGCAGGGCTACAGCGACCTGGAGAAGATACAGGAGCTTTACTCTGAGTCCTTAGTCATGGATGGTCCTCTCCCCTGCTCCCAACCCCTCCCCACCCCCACTCCCTCCCCGCTTCCTCACTTCCTCCCAGCTCCCTGCACCCCCCCATTTCCTCATTTACCCTTCCAACTCTCCCCTACCTGCCCCACTCCCTGCTGCCTCTGTTCCCTCACCCCTGCCCCCCCCCCCATTTCATCCTCCTCCTCTCCCCTTTCTGAAGGGCTTTGGCGGATCTAGTGAGAGAAGCATGTAGTCTGGTTATGTTAGGGTATTTTACAGAAAGAGGGTGGCCTGGTAACAGTGCACTTTAGGTCACATATGCACTCTGTATTCTCTATCCAGTATAGGAAGCCCCCCCCCTAAAGGGCAGAAAAGGGTGGCAGGGCAGAGAGGGGTGGGTGCCTGAGGTGGAGACTTAGCCTGAGGTCTATCTAGGCTTCATTCTGTGAAGCATTAATAGGTACTTAACTTCCTCTCACACCTTTCCATGACCCGGGATCTGTTTCCTTATCAGGGCTGTGATGACAGGTCAGACATAGACACTTCTTCAGTCTTTCTCCAGCCTATATATATCGAACTTCTCGTTTAGTGGTTCACAAAAAACAAAAACAAAAAACAAAAACAAAAACCCACAACGGATCCCAATACTCGGGAAATGTTATTAAATCTTATTAAAGTGATTTAAAGTTGTTTGTACAGATATTCATGCCCATCTTGCCAGGAAAATGGCCAAAGAGCCAAAAGGGAGATAGCAAATGGAAAGACTGAAATACATTTATTAAGCAGAATTTTTTATTCATCTAAGCAGTCTTCCTATTAACAAATTAAGCATTAACACAGACATCAAATTAGGAGAAAAAGAGGCGTGTCCTACAGTGGGTTGTCTCTGAAAGAAAGTTTTGCAGTGTTTTGAGAATTTGGTTGAGGCACAAATGTGTTTCTAAACTTCGCAAATAAACTGAAAATCAAATAAGTAAACATCACTTGAGTATAAGCTAGCTTTTCCGTTCTTTCAGCCAGCACCATGACTGTCTTCCTTGTTTATACAAAGAAAATCTTAGACAAAATGACCAGCTGTTGCTTAGAACTTGGATTTGGTCTGCTGTCTCTTGTCTGTTATCTGACTCAGCAGTGAATGCAATGTTGTTTTGTGCTGGGAAGACTGCAGACTGGAGTTAGAGACAGGTTACTGTTGCAGCTGTCACACTCTGGATAAGTTGCTTATCTCAAGGAGCCTTTGTTTTCCCATCTGTAATGTGGGAAAGGGTGGTGATAGGTGGTTGAGTGGATGTGCTAGGTGGCTCACAATAGGAACTCCGACTTAACAGAGAAAACAGCAAAATGCGTGGCTCAGCCTACAGACTACCTCACTTCTCAGTTTAGTTAATGGCATTAGGAAAGTGATTTCTCCCATTTAGCTATTATCAACAACAGACTACTGTTTTGAAGTTTTCCATTAGGGAAAAAAAATTAACAGCCTCCAGATATTTTTTTTTTTTTTTTTTTTTTTTTTTTTTTTTTTTTTTATGTGCTGAGGATAAACCCTACACCAGAAGTGGGTGCATGAAGCCTGGTCCATTCTGTTGTGGATGGATGCACAGTGTGGATGAAGTCACACAAAAAACAGATCATGGGATGGGGCCACACAGCTGTCCTGTGGCTGCTGTTTTCAGAGCCTAGAGACAGAAATGTCTGGGATGAGACTTGAACATTGCTGGATCCCTCTTGGTCTCAGAGATTCTCTACAATCATTTGCTACCCTCTTTGCCAGTGTGGGAAGTCTACTCTTTTACAAGAGCTTGCTAAATGACACCAGTTAGAGAATTGGGTTTCCAGAATGCTAGCATGCTGCCTCTCATTGGTCCTCACTGCAGCCCCTATGTAGTCAGTGCACAAATGAAGCTCTGGGGCTGTAGATGACAAAACTGAAGAAGCTTAGCTCAGATTGAGTGACTTGAGTGAGGTCACACATCAGTGACAGCAGGCACACTGCCTGACTCAAGGCCTGGACCTAACGCTATCCTATGTCCATCCTCACACTCTCCTATGTTCATCCTGACATTCTCCTGTGTCCATCCTGACACGCTTCTATGTCCATGTACTCAGGCATATTCATGCTTAATTTGATAATAGGAAGACTGAGTCTTGGTGAACAGGAAGGTTGGATTAATACATGTATTTTAGCCTGCCCATTTTGCCGACACTCTTAGTTAAAAGGACTTCCTGCTGAGAAGTTAGCCTGGGCATGCTCACTTCTTTCAGTTTGTAGTGTTCAATGTGAGTGTATTAATCTGCTTATCATCCTTCTTAATGGACACTTTCTCTCTTTTTTTTTTTTTTTTTTTTTTTTTTTTTTTTTTTGCCCTTCTTTTTATTGGTCTACTTAAAAAAAAAAAAAACTCTGAACCAAACAGGCATCAAAAGGAAATCACCTCCATGGTTTCAACCTCAGAAAAATATGCAAATTCTCAGTCGGCTGCTGACTCAATGATTGTTTCACCCCCAGATGTGTTTAAAGGACCATGGAAGGTTTCCTATGGAAAGACACAGAAAAAGAAAAGCCTCCATGCAGGTACCCGTGCATAGAATGGCATGACTCTTGCCTGGTTTTCTTTCAGTGAAATGGACTAAAACCAAACCCACATGGGATTTCTTTTAAGACCCTAATGTAAGCGTCTGTTTATTTGGTTGCCTTGCTCATTCCTGGCAAGACTACCACCTCTGAGCTATCCTCAATTTCTCATGCGTGTTTTATTCAATGAAATTTCTATTAAGACAATTTGCGTGATATCATAGCACTACTCTATAGACATCCTCCCCCATGGTAACATCTTACAAAATAATATTATGACATCACAAACGGATCATTGACATTGGTAAAACCCAAAGGTTTTATTCACATTTGTCCCAACTTTTCTTGTCTGACTGTTTGGGTTTTTATCATATGTATGGGGATGCAGGGAAATTCCATCACCATGAGGGCTCTATTGTTTGGTTGCCCTTTTACAGCCATGCCCATACATCTTATATACCTTGACCTTTGGGAATCACTGTTTTCTTTCTAAAATGTTACATTTCAAAAATATTTTAGGAACAGAATCACAGAATTGACTATTTTATCACTTAGCATGATTTTCTGTATATCCATAGACGATTATACATGTGTTAACAGTTCATTCCTTTTTATTGATAGTATTCCCGATAATATATGCACCACATTTGGTTTAACCGTTTACCTATTGATTAATCCAAATTACTCCAAATTTTAGTCTATTATAAATAAAGCAGATTATGAATATTCACGTACAAATTTGTTGTATCCATAAGCCTTCATTTATTTAGGATAAATACCCTATAGTGTAATTGCCAAAAGCTGTGGTAATTTAGCATTTCACTGTGAAGAAAATGACCAAACAATTTTCCCAAAGCAATTGTGCCATTTTGCCTTGAGTGAGTGACCAATCATTATACATTTTCAATGGCATAGTGTTTTACCACTCTTTTTAAGATACCAGTCTCCCTGATGGTCATATGATTGCTCACAATGATTTTTAATTTGCATTTCCATAGTTGCTAATGGTGTTGCCTGTCTTCATGCATTTCCTTGTTACTGTTGTTGTTTGCTAACTGGTGTCTATCTCTAGTGAGATGTCTGTGCATTTGTGTTGTGAATATTAAATGAATGCTTTGGGTTTCACTGGTGTGTTTTAAGAGTTCTCAAATGTTCTAGACACTAGGACTCAGAGTCATTTGAAACATTTTCTCTCCATTTGTGAGTTGTGTTCCCATCCATAGTAGAGCCCTTCATCAAGCAAATGATTTTAATGGATCAGGTTTTCCTTTCTTGGACCCTTACTGGTGTCAAATGGAAATACTAGTTTTAAGTCCTGAAAATTTTTTTTCTAGAAATTTTGTGGGTTTTCTTTTCTACATTTGATGTTCATTTTGTGTAAGGTTGGAGATTCAGCTCAAATACCTTCCTTCCCTCCTCCCTCTTTCTCCTCTTCCTTCTTTCCTTCCTTTCTTGGCTATAGTTATTGCTATCGTATGATTTGTTTTTTATTATATTTTTATTATTTAAATATATTTTGATCATATTCTTCCTTTTCCCCAGGTTGTTCCAGATCCTCTTTCCCTCCCTACTCACCTAACTTTGTTATTTCTCAATAAACAAACAAAAGCCCAATTCAAAAACAAAATCCCCAAAACCAAGAAAACAAAATAAAAACATGCTACATAGGAAAAGAAAATAAAACCCACAAAACTATAACCAAATTAAAGCGTGTACACACAAATATACACACAAAAAAAAATAAAAAAAACAAACCAAAGCTGTGGAGTCCATTTTATGTTGGCCAACTATTCCTGAACATGAAGTCTGCCCTGTTGGTATACCCAGTGTCACTCTACTGATTTTCCCTCTCCCTGCAGTAATAAGTGATAGTTCAATTGTTAACCTTTACCCTAGTTGTGAGATTTTCTTTCTTTCTTTCTTTCTTCCTTTCTTTCTTCCTTTCATCCATTCACTTAAAAAATAACAAAATAAAATATAATAAGATAAGATAAAAACTATTACATTAAAGTAATAAGATAAGACAAACGGACAGAAGGAAAAGAGCCAAGGCACAAGAATGAGACCCACTCATTCAATCAGGAATCTCATAAAAACACTAAACTGGAAGACAACATATACACAGAAGACCCATGTAGTCCGTGTGCATAATGCTTCAGTCTCTGTGAGTTCATATGAGCTTTGCTCATGTTCATTTAGAGGGCCTTGTTTTCTTGGTGTCCTCCACCCACTCTGGCTCTTACATTCTTTCCAGCTCTTCTGAGGAGTTCCCTGAGCTCTGAGGGGAGGGATTTGATTGAGAGATTCTACTTAGGATTGAGTGTTCCAAGGCCTTTCTCTTTTTCACTGTCTGCATAATGTCTGGCTGCGGGTCTCTGTTTCCGTTGGCTGTAGGAGGAAGCTTCTCTGATGATTGCTAAACAAGGCACTGATCTATGAGTATAACAGTATATTATTAAGAGTCATTATATCACTACATTTTTTTCTTCTTTTTTAAACCAGTAAGTAGTATTTGGTTTTACCCTAAGTCCCTGGCTATCTACTCTCAGGTTCTTGGTCACCCAAGCAGTGTCAGGTATGGGTTTGATCTCACGGAGTGGGCCTTAAATCACTTATTGGTTGGTTGCTTTGTGCCACCATTGCCCTAGCATATCTTGTAGGTGGGATATGGTTGCAGATAAAAGGTTGTGTCTGGCTTGATCTTTATGTTTCTCTCTTGAGAGTATGCAGAGTACATTCCTATTCCAAAGATGCTGGAATGTAGGGGGTGAAGGCTCTATGTAGGTACCAGCTCAACATCTCCATCTTCAATGAGTTGTATAGATGTTGTCTTCAGCAATGGGGCCTTGCTGTCTTGGCAACAGCCTGGGTCATTTGGATTTCCAAGGGATCCCTTTGGCCAACAACTCAATTAGATATAACCCAATCCTGGTAATGGAAGCTTCTTTTGGTGACAAAAGACGGCCAGTTGGGACTCTGTCTCCCCCATTATTTAGCAATTTCATTTAGATTGCCCTCATATAAGTATATATTTTAGGAAGTTTCTACTGTATTAGGTTTTCATATTGCCCCTCAAATGCCCCTTAATTTTAGCTGTGTCTCCCTGTACTCCCTCCCCAATACTTTGGGGCTCAAGAGACAGTTCAGTGTTCAAGAGCACTTGTTCTTGTAGAGGCCCTGCGTTCAGTTTTCAGCACCCACATGGCAACCCACATCTGTATAACTCCAGTTCCAGTGGATATGGCATCTTTTTCTGGCCTCTGTGGGCACCAGGAACACACATGGTGTAATACATATGTACAGAAAAATATTAATATACACAAAATAAAAACGAATTTCTTTAGAAAACCCATTACTTCATTTTGTTAATTTTACACATTTGTAAAGATAGTGGGACATATTTAATGTGCATTAAATGTATTTTCAGTGGTCTGTCCCATTGATCCATTTCTCTTCCCTTTGCCAATACCATTTAGTCTTGATTGATAGAATATCAACATCACAGACAGTGATTTCTTTAATATTTTTATTCTAAAGAATATTTTAATTATTCTAGTCCTTGATGTTCCTGTGTGAACCTTAGAATGCATTTGTCCATTTCAATTATAAAACTCTCTGGGAGTTATTAGTAATTGCATTAAATATCTGATTTTGTTTGGCATATCACCCAACACACAAGCATGGAATTTCTCTCTACTCATTTGGGTCTTCTTTGATGTCCCATAAAAATACAGTGGCTGGTTTTGTTCAATCTGTAACTGGGTACCTTGCTGAAATCAGTAGTATGAAGAGCTCTACTTTGGGTAGATTTCTTGTCATGTTCTATATGGTTACACTATTTAAGTAGGGACACTTTTGTATTTCTTGTCTCCATTCTTTCTGGCTTTATTTCACTTCTTGCCTCATTTCAGTGGCTAGAATCTCTAGTGCTATTCTGAATAAAGGTAGCAGTGGTCATCATTTTCTTTTTCCCAATATTGGGGGGAAAGAATTAAATAAGATTTCATCTGTGCAGATTTTCATCTGTTCTTTATCAAGCTGAGAATGTGATCCACTTAACTTTCTGGAAGGTTTTTATTTTTCATCAATAGGTGCTGGATTTCATTAGGTGCATTTTCTACATCAATTGATACCTGATTTTTCTTCTTTGGTGTATTGGTGGGGTAGATTGTATTGTTTGTTTTGAAATACTGAATCAACCTTATATTTTTTTTTCTAGCTTGCTTTCTGTTCCTGTGATTAAACACTCTGACCAGAAGCAACTTTGGAGAGGAAAGGGTTTATTTCATCTTACAGTCTACCATTGAGGGAGTCAGGAGAGGAATTCCAGCAGGGACTTGAGGCAAACCTTTGGAAGAACACTGCTGGCTGCTTTACCAGGCCCATAATTCACTAGCCTTCTCATACAGCCCATGATCATCTGCACAAGGAATGGTGCCACCCACAGTGGACCAGATCTTCTTACACCAACCAACAATCAAACACCTCCTCCCACCCCCCAGGCCAATCTTATCTGAGCAATCCTTCAATTGAGATTACCTTTTCCGGTGATTCTAGGCTGCATCAAGTTGTCAGTTCAAGCTAACTAACACCTAAACAGTCTCAGTGTACAATGATTGTAATCTATCACTTGCTAATATATTTTGAGGGCTTTCATGTTAAAGTTCATAAAACTTACTAGTCTGCAATTTTCTTTCCTTTAAAGTACTGTTTTCCAAGTTTTTATGTCAGGCTAACACCATCCTCATCAAATGGGTTGTGTTTTTCTCCTCTTCCTTTCTTGGAAGTGATGCAATTTCTGGGGGTTGTGTAAAATTATCATGGAGCCAATTGGATCCAGAAATCTCTGAAAAGAGATATTCATCCCAAGTTTGATTTCTCATGGTTCTAAGATATCTTTATCATCTATTCATCTTGTCTGGTTTTTGGAAATTTGTGATTTCTGGTTTTTGGGTTGTTATTTTTTTTTTCTTTGAGAATTTGGTCATTATTGTTAAATTTTTGCTTAAATTAGAAATAAAGAAGAAAAGAGGCGGATGAGACATAAGACTAAGAGACATATTAGACATACTAAGCAGTTTATTATAGGCCTGGCAGAGTAGGGAGACTAAAGGAGAAGGGAAACAGGTTAATGGCTGACCGCCATGGCCAGTCGCCATAGAGAGAGAGAGAAGAGAAGCAGAAGCAGACAGAGAAGAATAGAGAGTGTAGAGAGAGTTTAAATGGCCAAGGATCTGTCTTTTAAAGGGGTCCTCTGCACCTATGTGCAGACTTAGTTCCTATGACCCTGAGCCCCCAGGTTGGACCACATGGCCAAGATAGTGGCGACCCTAAGCCACTTTTTTGTCTGTTTACCCGTCTGTTGGCTGCAACCAGAAAGGTTCCTCTATGCATTTCCCATTGGTGAGGCAAATGGAAAAAGCGGCAAAAAGCTCCTCTCCGGATGCCAGATGGCCTGGTGGAGTTGCCTGGGGCCTGGCCCCGAAGGGGACACAGCTGTCCCAAAATGGAAAAGGACCCAGTGGTCTGAACTGAAAAAGCAAAAAAGCACCGCTCCTGGAGCAGGATTCCAAACCTGACCCACAGGAAATTTAAGGGATATCTTACCAGATGGTAGCGAACAGGCAGATGAGTGGGTTCCAAAGATGGTTAGTTGGAAAAGCAATGACTTGAAGTGCACAGAGTTCCGGCATCTCAGGCTGCTGCAGGCAAAAGGAAGTGCCAAGAAAAACTGAGATGGAAAGTGGGTTATGAGTTCAGACTTTAGGATCCCCTAAATTTTCTGCACCCCTGGCGGGAGAGGTTTTTGGGGAGAGCCTAAACCTAGTTGGGCGCCAATGTTAAGTTTTTGCTTAAATTAGAAATAAAAAAGAAAAGAGGCAGATGAGACATAAGACTAAGAGACATATTAGACATATTAACCAGTTTATTATAGGCCCAGAGAGTAGGAAGACTAAAGGAGAAGAGAAACAGGGTTAATGGCTGACCGCCATGGCCGGGCGCCATAGAGAGAGAGAAGAGAAGCAGAAGCAGACAGAGAAGAGTAGAGAGAGTAGAGAGAGCGTAAGTGGGCAGGGATCTATCTTTTAAAGGGGTCTTCTGCACCTGCGTGCAGACTTAGTTCCCATGGAACTCTTGGCTGGGTACTGCCTGTTCCACCAGGTAACAGGGACAGGCCAGCATAATGCCCAAACCTTTCAATTATCCTTCTAAATTCCTACCTTGTAAAGCAACTTATTCATTGTATTCCTTCATTGGCTTTCAGTTGCTGCAAGACCTATAGTTGTGTCTCCCATGTCTGTTGATATAATGATTTGTGCCTGTCTTCTCCTTTTGTTTTTATTCAGTCTTGTCAGGGGGTTTAATCAGTTTTATTTTCTATTTATTCATCAATTTTTTTATGGATAGGGTCTTTGAAATTCTCATCAAATAATCTTAATTTCTGATTTTCATTGATGACATTTTATTGCCCTTTGTTATTCGAGGTGCGTTTTTCTTCTTGACAGAAGAGTGAATTTTTGAAAAATATTTTTTATCGTGTGTGCATATATGTGTGTGTTGTGTGTATAGTGATGTGTATTGTGTTTTATGGGTGTGTGCGCTGTGTGTATAGCACGTGTGTATTGTATGTAAATGTGTGTGTGCTGGGTATACTTACATGAGTTCAGGTAACCACAGAGGCCAGAAGAGGGTGTCGGATCCCCTGGAGCTGGAGTTTGCAAGCTGTTGTGAACCATCTGACATGGGTGCTAAGAACTGAGCTTGGTCTTCTGCAGGAGCATCATGGGCTTTAAACCACTGAGCCACCTCTGCAGCTCTAACTGATGTTTTTAAACCCTACCCTGGGCACTCTGCTGTGTTAGGGACACTGGATCCTACTGAGATCTTTTATTTTGGCAAGTTGCCACTGTGTTTGTTAGACATGTTGACTCTAGCCTGTTTTTGTGGGCTGTGGTTCCAATGATTTAGAAATTCTTACTGCATTTGTGATAGATTTTTGTGTCTCTGCTGGTTCTGCTTGAGGTGGCAGCATCGGGGGTCCTAAGACCAGATTGCTAAGTGTATGCTAGGAGCACAGTGACTTCTCCCAGTGCTGTCACTTGGTGTCTCATGTGTCTAGGCAAGAAAAGGCAATCAATCCCCAAGCCTCATGCATATCCTGTCTACTCGATTTTGATGACACTGTCCAGAGGGAAATAGTTTAGGCTCATGGAAACAAACAGGCTCCATTTCCACCCTTGGGCATGTCCTTTTGCCATCCTGACTCTGGTGAGCCTGACTTTTGCTAGACCTGCAGTTTCATTCTTCTTCTAAGTGTCTTATGACCTTTGTCCCTCTCATCACATCACTTAGATTTTGGATCCTCGCTATCAACAGGCAGCCATGTACTAAATTTAATTTTACCTTAATGTTTAATGTAGAAGAGCAATGAGACACGGTGGGTGGGCAAACAGTGTGGGGAGTTGTTACACCATTGTCAAATACAGGTTTCCACTTAGCTCTCTTCTGTGCTTCATTGATCTCTCGCCCACAGGCATCATTCCCAAGAAAATGTGTCTTCTTTTAAAACACCTGGCTGAAGAAGCAGCCAAGACAGGCTCCACCCTCTAGTTACTTAGAAACCAATGAACTGCCTATAGCAAGTTCCCTTATCCAGTCATGGAACCCACTGGGGTTACTAATGTGTGCAAAAGAAGAAGAAAGGACACTGACCATGTAAAGATTTCCCACTAGTAATCATTCAGGCTATCATGTGGGGAAGAGTGAGCTGTTGTTGAGAACACAGCAGGATTCACACCAGTGCCCACTTGAGGTTGTGCCTCTGGCTTGTAAAGAGCACAAAATGCATCTACCACTAGCGTGTTTGTGTTATCAAACGTGGAAAGCCATCAAAATGCCCTGCCATATACTCACTGTTCTTTAATGCATACAAGTAAATGCCAATATTTCATGAATGTTGTCCTTTAGTTACAAGGACCAACAAAGGTTTCAGGGCAGTGTAAGTTGCCTGGCAGCAACTGTGGTAGGCAGAATTTGTAAAGTGACCTACCAGAGATGTCTTGCCCTACACCACACAACTTTTAAAGTTATCCAGGTGGGTTTAGTGTAACCACACAAAATGCCTTTAAAAATGGGAGCTTTCTCTAGCTGGTGGCAGAAGAGGAAGTCTGGGAGGCCTGAATGATGAGAGGAATTTAATGTGTTGTGGCTGACCTAAATATGGGGACACACACGGTAGGCTACGTGAATAGTGCCTCAAGGAGCTGAGAGAGACCCCTTGCCTGTATGGAACATGGGCCTCAGCTCTACAATCGCAAGAAACTGCACCCTCCTCCTCTCCCTTTCCTCCTCCTCTTCTTCCTCTCTCTCCTCCAATCTGAATGAGCTTGGAAGCAAATTCCTTTTCTGTAGGGGCACAGCTTGAATTGAACTGAAGAATGCAATCAGTGTGACAAACCATCCTCTGCAAATGGAAAACTAAAGTTAATTAGTTATATTATTTTTTTAAAAAGAGAGGGAGAGAGAGAGAGAGAGAGAGAGAGAGTGCGTGTGTGTGTGTGTGTGTGTGTGTATGTATTTGGAGAGGAGATGGGTCACCTTTGGGTGTTTTTCCTCACCTGTCTTCCACCTTGTTTTTTTTTTGAGACAGGGTCTCTCCAGCCAGGCTCGACTGGTGAATCAGCAAGCCTAAGGAGATGACACATCCCCAAGTGATGGGATTTCAACCACACCTTGCTTTTTATTTTCAAATGGTTTCTGGGGATCAAAGTGCATAGCAAGCACTTTATTTACTGAGCCTAAAGTTACATTAATTTGATAAAGTAGTTCTACTTAATCAAACATCTCCTTCCATCCCCAACTCCCATAACCCTCTCTATGTGGTATCAACAGAAGCGACCAAAACCAGCCTGCTCAGAAGCAACATATCCAAGAGCTGCAATGACACGAAGGAGAGCTCCAACTCCAACGACTGCGCTCCTGCTTCTCTGAGTGACCAAGGCAAGCATAAGAGGGGCCTACCCCAAGAAACCCCTTTCATCTTCTTTTGGCCTGCTGGTCTATGCCTGAAAGACATGGGTGGGATAGGTTGGGGGGAGTAAAACAAAAAAGTCACACTTAAAATGTTGCATATTCCTCCCTGGAAAGCTCCCTTGGAAATCAGATACACCTACTTTAGTGCCTGAATTTCCCTAGGGTTAGATTTGTGCTACACATGTCTGTGTGTTTGGCACACTCATGGCTCATTCGGCTACCATGTCAGTTGAAATGCCTGCTACTCTGTGCTTTAAATCTGAAACTCTTGCCACCCAGCCAGCCCCTTTCTGGTTCCAATAGTCAAACACAAAAGCATGAGGAAGGTATAACTTGTCCACTGAGTGGCTAATGATGAGATGATTTTTCTTGAATCGAATACATTGAATCCTATAGTGTGTTCTCTACATTCAAACAGTTACTTACTAAATCCTGAGCATAGTACACAGTCCCTTATGTAGTAGGAAGCACCTGATTGGCAAAGATGCACCTGTGTTAACCTGTCACAGTTGCATCAGACTCTGTTAGCTTCAGTGCCGCTGTGTGGGGAACCTTCCCAAATAGCTTGCATGTCCTCAGCCAGCCACATGCAGCCTGCTGCTTTGCACGACCTCAGCTGCCTACATGCAATCCATTTATTATGGAACTTAGCACATTATGACTAGAACAAGGTTTCTTTTTTTAACATTTTTTTATTTGAATTAGAAACAAGATTGTTTTACATGACAATCCAAGTTCCTTTGTCCCTCCCGTCCTCCCCTACTACCCCCCAACTAAAACCCTACCTATCACATATCCTTTCTGCTCCCCCTGGATGGTGAGGCCTTCCATAGGGGGTCATCTTCCATAGGGTGTCATCAGAGTCTATCATATCCCTTGGGATAGGGCCTAGGCCCACCCCTGGCTCAGGGAGTATTCCTCTATGTGGAGTGGGCTCCCAAAGTCCACACCTATGCTAGGGGTAAATACTGAACTACTACAGGAGGTTCTGTAGATTTCTGAGGTTTCCTCACTGAAACCCATGTTCCTGGGGTCTGGATCAGTCCCATACTGGTTTCCCAGCTATCAGTCTGGGGAGCAAGAGCATGTTCAGGTCAGCTGTTTCTGTGGGTTTCACCAGCCTGGTCTGGACCCCTTTGCTCTTCACTCGTCCTTCTCTGCATCTGGATTCCAGTAGAACATGGTTTCTTAAACATTTAACCAATGCACATCTGAACTTTTCCTTCTTAGCTGCTGCTAATTCAATGACGGAATATTCCTTTCCGTTTAGAAATCCAAGTTTATATAAGGACATATGTCTAAAATCCCACACACTAATTTCAAAATTTGAACTTAACGATTCAACGGACTCTAACAGTCTTTGGTTTCCCACACCAAGCTGAAGAGCCATGAAACAAAGTGTCTGAATTGAAAATGTCGACCAAGTCACTCCCCTGGTAGTTGTGGGGGAGCCTAATGCTGACCAATCGCTGGTAAATCATAGTCTTGTTAAACATTTTGAATGTGGTTTTTGAAGAAACAGATTATGAGTGCACCTGATTCTTCTATGGAGAGAATGCTCACTGCATGGGGGGCGGGGAGGGAGTGGGTGTGGCAGGGCAGGGCTGTATCACCTGTGCCTGGGGTGCCAGGGGAAGCACCTAATGCGTTTTGCCTGAGAGCCTGCACTAGCAGGTTAAACTATGGCCTCTGAAGTGTGGGCTGCCATTATTCCTCCATCTGAGCAAGCATGATCGACCCTTGATGTCAGCCCCGATATAAACAGCTGCCATTTCATTCCACAGAAGTGAACATCCTACTGATAAATAAGTACCTCAATGACAAGTTGTCAGAAAGACTCACTAGAAATGAAAGCCAACTCAGTGACCACACGTGAGTGCTTTAATCTAAGGGATTCAATTGGTTCTGGTTTTGTTTGTGAACGACTTAAGTTGCAAGTTTTAAACACTACTGTCTTGTGTTCTTAGCTCTTCAGACATGTCCTCTGAAAACTGGCTCCAAAACCATAGCCTGGTGGCCAAGAAGCTCACCCTCATGGATGCCTTGACTGCGACGATGGTGCCCCACAGCGCCACCTATGTTCCCATCCTGAATAAGCCTGTTGCCTCCAAGGTCTTCAAAGAGGTAATGTGATTGACTATCTGTGTGCCCCTGCTCCAGATGCTTTTTTTATTTTCTGCTCCAATAAAAAATAACCCGCTTTAATCTCTTGATGAGTTGTATTAGAGATGTATTGGAAGAAGTTATGTGTAGAGGCAATAGATGAGGGAGCGGAGAAGTAGGGACTCTTTGGCTTCTCCTAGGGCAGGAGGAACTGGCCTTTGCTGAGCTAGAAGTTGGTGGCTCTTTGCTTCTGTGGGGATGTGTGGAGCTTCAGAGATGGCAAAAGCTCTCCAGCTCAGAGTTATGAATGGGCATCCTGGGACCAAGGGACTGAATACGGGGGCTTTGCTGGAGAGATGAGACCCTTTCTTTTCTCAAGTTGAATGACATTTTCTCTATTATAAAACCACCACAGGCAAGGAGAGAGGAGGTGGTGGGTGGGTTTGAGGTAGTCATGTTCCTGGAGAAGAAAAAGAGCCTCCAGTATGAGAGTGTGGGAGGGTGTATTCAGTCAAGACCATATATGTTCAGTTCGGTCCAGCTGGCCCTTGGCATCTGGGAGCTCTTCATCTATGGCTTCAACCAATCTTAGATCAAATGTTGCATCTGAGCATGCACGTTTCCCATTGCTACCTAACCAGTGCAGTATAATAGCGACTTACAAATAGCATTTACGTTGCAATGGGTGTTAGGAATCATTGATGGCTCACAGGACACAGGAGGATGGACAGAGGTTATGTGCAGAAACCCCGCCATTTTACATAAGGGTCTGGAGCATCAGGGAAGTGGCGGTAGTATGTTCTAGGAGCCAGTCCTCCCACAGTGAGGGCCAATTGTATTGAGAAGCAGCCCCAGAGTGTGGGAAGGAGGAAGTCCTTGTCTTCAGGGATAACAGTTTCTCAAGCAGCCACGTTAGAGTGGGATGTCAAACACAGAAGAGATGTGACTATGAGGACCAAGCGCCACTGTCACCTGGAAAATACGAGAGACTAGAAGTTGACGTAGCGACCATCATACTTACCAGGGGTGACATCCCTAAAGGAACACCCTGAAATGTTTACAGATGGGATGCTTGGTGTCTGCCTCAGGATGTCCAGGTGGGACAGGGGTGACAGGGGATAAGAGCACCTGGAGCAATTTTTAAATTTGGAAAAGATCATCGAGGGAGTACAAGACTTACTGCACAATTCTTTCTGCTTTTTATATATTTGAGATTTCCCATGAGACCATCTAGCAAAAAGGGCTCTAACTGGCCTTGACCTTGCTGGGATGGGCATACTTAGAGCAGCAGATAGAGCAACAGGATTCTCTTTGGTTACATTAGTCACTTTCAAAACTGTGACCAGTTTATGGAGGTCAGCCATACCCTGAAGGCTGTGGATGACATTGGTTACCCTGTTCTCTTACTTTGCCTCAAGGCTCAAAGGCAATGAAGCGAGAGAACACTGACTTGTCTCTTCCAGGAAATCTGGTGACATTTTCTTCTGTTCTGTGTATTCTTTTATTAATATACTAGGGATTTATTTGGAACAAACCTGTGTAATGACTTCCTCCTGGAAGTAGAATTTTCTTGGACTTACATCATTCCTCCTTGTACCTCTCCCCACCACTTGAGATACATTGGGTGGAAAGTTCTCCAAAACAAATTCAGTAGCCTAGGGAAGTACAAGCATATGATCAAACGAAGGAACCATAAAGAACATTTATCCCCTAACTCCATCGTAATGGATCAGTGCAGAAGAGGGTTGCCAGAGGCAGTGGGAGAAATAGGCTTTTGCAGACACAGAAGGGCAGTTGGATGAACTTGCAGTGGCTGTGGCAGCATATGTGAGACTTAGGCAAGCTCAAAGCTGGAGTCCAGACTCCAGCATGGGCAGGGTAGGTAGGCACAAAACCCTACCCCAGCTGAGGAGCTGTTGGCAGCTGATAGCTGCTGGCAGGGGCATGGCCCTGGTAGGCAGAACATGCTCCAGGGAAGGGCCCGACACCCAGGAGTACATGGGCAACACAGCGAGACTCCATGGGTTTAGAAAAGAGTGAAGATGGGTGGGGAAGGGAGGGTTGATGTGGGAGGAGTTAGAGGAGGGGTGTGCATATCACCAAAATGCATCATACGAAATTCTCAAAGAATTCATGAAAAGACATCTGCATAAAAGCATATGAAGTAAAAGCAGAGATAAGAAAACTTTTGTAGCATATACAATGAAGAAAGTTCATAAGAATTACATTACTAATGCACATGTATGGTTCAGTATATATCAGTATGTGCATAAATTGGTGTTCATCCTGTATACACACACACATACACACACAGACACACACTCATACACACACGCACACACACATACACACACTCACACACACACTCATACACACACTCACACACACACACTCATACACACACACATTCACACACACTCATACACACTCACACACACTCATATGCACACACTCATACACACATGCGTGTGCGCGCGCACACACACACTCGTACACACACACACACACTCACACACACACACACTCACACAACACTCATACACACACACTCATACACACTCATACCCACACACTCACACACACTCATACATACACTCATATACACACTCATATACACACTCACACACACTCATACACACACACTCATACACACACTCATATACACACACACTCACACACACTCATATACACACACACTCACACACACTCATACACTCATACACACTCACACAACACTCATACACACACACTCATACACACTCATACCCACACACTCACACACACTCATACACACACTCATACACACACTCATACACACACTCATACACACACACTCACACACACTCATACACTCATACACTCATACACACTCACACATACTCATACACACTCATACACACACTCATACACACACACACACTCACACATATCTTCACCATGAAGGGGTACTAACATGATAAATACTCCAGTGAGAAATCTGAGAAAAAAGGGGGAAAGACAAAAGGACAAACAAAAATATTAACTTTAATGGTAACCAGATACACCAGGTAAGAAATATACAATTTGAAAAGTTATACCCATCTCCCCATAAAATTGAAAGGAAAAAAAAAAAAAACGCAAGAGGCAGTGAGATGACTTGGTGGATGAAGGCACCTGCTACCAAGTCTGACTTTAATGGGAAGGAGAAAAGCTCCGCCTGCAAGTTGTTCTCTGGCCTCAACATATATGAGGAGAAAGAAAAGCTTTAATTGAGCTTAAGGAACTCAACTGTCTTGAGGAAAATGGGAGAGATTTTATCATGGGAAACAGTCAACTTTGGCTTTTTGCTACCTAAGTAAAAGACAGTGCAGAGATGCAAAGCTGAGAAGACATGGCAGTCACGAGACAAGTCTGGACAACAATGACCCGATGATGACACTGAACATAGGTGGAGGCTGGGGTGAAGTCACATTGATGGGACTGAATGATGTGGCACTGAGAAAGTGTCCAGAGTGATTCTTAAGATGTCACCCATACAACGGCATCAGAAGCATGCAGTGGAAGAAAGACTGCCTAACCAATGGTCCTGGCAAAACTGCTTGTGACCTACAGAAGAATGAGATTAGATCAACAGCTCTCATCCCAGAGAAACAGCAATTCAAAGTGGATAAGAGTCTTTGGTTTAAAATATGAAACACCAGAACTGCTAGAGGAAAACACAGGGAATGCATTTGAAATCACAGGCACAGTCCAGATGCCTCTGGTCAAGACTCCAGTAGCACAGGAAATTGGCCCTAGAATCAACAAATGGAGTGACATGAGATTAAAGTGTTTCTCTACAGAAAAGAAAACTATCATCAGAGAAAACATACAACCCACAGAATGGGAGAAAATTTTTTGTGGTACCTCAGACATGTTGATGTCTACAATATATAAAGAACTGAATGAATTAAACAGTAAAAAAGGAAATAGCCCACTGAAAAATGCGATAATGAAATGAATAGTTACCCAAACTGGAAACAGAAATGGACAAGAAATATTTTTAAAAACCCTCAACATCCTTAGCCATCAGGGAAATGCAAATTAAAACTGCTTTGATAGTTCCATCTCACCCCAGTCAGAATGGTTCACATCAAGAAAATGAAAGACAACAAATGCTGGCAAGGATGGGGAAGCCTGAACCACTGCTGGGAAGAGCATGGAAGTGATTCTCAAAAAATTTAGCATAGGACTATGGTATGATCTGGATATAAAAACCCAGTGTACTTTATATCCTACCACCAAGATGTGTGTAGCTCCATCCTTATTGCTGCTATATTCGTAATATCCAGGAAATCGAACCAGCCTAGATGTCAACCAATACATGAGTGGATAACGAAAATGTGGCATATATAATAAATGGTATATTACTCAGCTGTTAAAGAAAAATGAAATTTACAGGAGATGGATGGATCTGGAAAGTATTATATTAAGTGAAGTGACCCAGAGTCAGAAAGACAAAAAAAAAAAAAAAAAAAAAAAAAAAAAAAAAAAAAAAAAACACATTCTCATATGAGGATCCTGGATCAGTTACCTTTCTGTTGCTGTGATAATGGCCATGACTGAAGCAATTTAAGGAAGAGAGAGTTTTGGCTTACGGTTCCCAAGGGTTAAGAGTCCGTCATGGTGGGTAGGCGTGGCAGGAAGCTGCAGATAGCAAGCCTGGCCAGAGCAGGAACCTGGGAACTCGCATCCTTTACTCCAAGCACCAAGCAGAGGGAAAAACAACAACTACAACAAAAACCTGCGAGTGGCATAATGCTTTTTAATTTCAAAACCTGCCTCCAGTGGCATGCTTCCTGTAGAGCAAGCCCACATCGCACAAATCTCTCCAAACAATGCCACTTACTAGAAACCCAAACCACCATAGATCCTAACTTCTAATATCTATAGTATTAAATAAAGGGATGTGAGGATAGATACAAACTGTGAAGCTATATAGGAGAAACTAGGTAGGAGCCCATGAGGGGAGTAAGTTAGCCAAGAAAGATAGGAGAGCATAA